GAATTATACATAATTTCATTCATGAAAGTAGAATATGTCTTCGCAAATAAACAATTTAAATGTTTTTTTTTTCATATAATCATAAGATTTTTTGATTAGCGATTTGTTTTAAACAACATTCTTAGCTTTAACTTCGGGACTACAGATCCTCATTTAATTTACGAAATAAGCGACTGATCTACATCACCCTACTGAGACGAATTAAGACATACGGAGCAGAGATGTGGGGTTCGGCAAAACAAACACAATAAAAAATTATTAACGCGCCTTGGCATATTTCAAATAATTAACGGCTTAAACACCCCAACAGTAAAATCCTACATCCACAGAAATACAGTACATTTCATTCTTCAGTTCGAAACCACTGATTCTTTCTATTTCCTGCTTCCTGTTACCTAAACGACGCAGATTAAAAAGGAAATGGTCAAGAGACCGATGATATCAATAATAACAAAATCAAGCAAATAAACAGCAACAAATTTACTAGATGAGCAGTTGAAAATTACATGGAATATTAAAATAGATAAATAAATAACAAAATTCTACTGGACTACAGATACCCCACTTGTAGAAAACTTCACAGTTTAATAAGATTCAAATCTACGTGCTGTCTCCTCAAAGTACCATTGTTTTTAACAAACATAAATCAATGAATCAATAAATTAAAATAAATCGATAAGAAAATTTTGTTACTATTTTATTTGAAATACTTTTTATTATACTAATTAGTAAACTGTGTTTTTATGTTTTTTAATTTACTTATCTTTAGGTTATTTTATTTTTTTATTGTACATAGTTTTTGATTATTATTTTACTTTTGTTAATTTTCTGTATATGTGGTGTGAATGTGTTCATATATCTCTATGATTATTGTCCACGCGACAGATTATTATTTTTCTGAATAAATAAATTTAAAAAAAATTAGTAAACTACAGCTTTTATTCATAAATGTGAAAACGGTGATTTTCCACAAAATGATCATCTAAAAGCACCAGCGGTTTTTACCCAGATCTAAATTATGGAATGTCTGCACTGCAGAAGGAGAAAAAAAATCGCTGATAATCGATGATTTTATAGAAACCTGATCTTCATGTAGTTGAGCTGCTTTAAAATAACCTTTAAATAGTTTTAACAACAGATAATTCTACTTGCATTTAAGGGATATTTTGTCTAGTTTACTATGAGATATTTGGTAGTTTCTGAAATAAAATATTTGTTTATTTACAGCTTCCTTAAAAAAAACAAAAAAAACATTGACATTAAAAAAACAACAGAAAACTTGAATTTTCTGGTTTCATGTGTGGAATAGGGCCTTAGTTCATATGTATTTTTTCGCAGCTCTTGAAATCTATTCTCACTGTTTCCCATTAAATTATTACACTGTGTACATCATGTATATATACCTATATAAAACATATTAATGAGGCCTTTATATAAATATATATTTAACATTGGTTACATAAATAGACCCTCCTAATACGATTGTTATTCATCACTAGCGGATCCAGGATTTAATTTTGGTGGGAGGGGCTTTAACCCGAAAGCTTTTATTTTTATATATAACTATAATTATTTCGGAAAAAAAAATAAAGATATTAACTACACATATGAAATGGTGTTTAAGTGGTTCTTGAAGTCTTATTAAATGTAATTACACGAACAATAATACTTTAAGAGGTAATTTTTAAATATTTTTTTCCATAAAACATGGTTTTATCATTTGGGAGGGGGGGGGAGGAGTCTGCCCGAAAGTTTCCCTATCCTCCCCCCCCTCGTAGATCAGCCTGTATTATTCAGATACTTTCCGAAATATAAATTCGCCTCAAATTTGTTAAGTAGGAATTAGAAACTATATAATTACATAGACTATTCTGGATGATAATATACTATATTACATTGTATAATATGTATTATATACGATACTATATATATATATACGAGACTTACAAAAATTGTACTAAGGCTTTAAAAAACAACAACACTTATGTGTTGGCCTCGCGTATCCATGCGAGCCGCGTATCCATTTATGGCCCAGGTCAAGGTGGAGACATCAGCTGGTCTATGGAAGGAACCTTGCGAAACATCCACAAGGACTGGTCACCTGATATTGAACACTTCAGCTAAATAAAACTTTGGACACGGCGGGTGGAAATTCGGACCGACATAAAAAGATTCGTATCGTGTACCCGCTCAATTTCCTCAGATTGTTCACTTTAATTTAATTATGTTTTAATCAAAAACATCTATAAATGAAACGTAACAATATTCCACATTTTGTATTAAACTTATCAATTAAAAATATTTGAGTCCAATTGAATATACAGGTACATATAAAAATATTTACTGATATGAAATTGTTTTCACTCAGATATTCTCATTTTTATTGATAGCACGATTTTTTATTTTACTCGAAATAATTCGAAAATTCTTTATTGAGTTATATTACAATCTGACTCATCTAAGGACAACAGTAATAGTGAAAGAAGAGTAGCTCATTCATACTATGTACAATAAATAAACAGCAAAATAATAACACTTTTTTTTTATTATTGAAATTTACAACTGTATTGAATGATAAATACAACAAGTAACATGGCATATACAACATGAAGAAAAACTACCCATTGGTAGCACTCCAATATAATATTAAAAGTATTTAAACTAAAAGACTGAAAGCAACTAAACTAATCAATATAACTACTTAAATACACTCACGCTTTTATAAAATATTTACAAAATTCATTAACTCAAGATCTCCTAGCCAAGCTTTTCTTCCCCAGTAGTGCAAGGAAAGGTAGGCCTCTAGGAGATCCCAGCGCCTCTCACTCAACCTCATTAGTGGTACGAAATAATAAAACACTCATATATATATAAAGTGAGTCGAGAGCAACGAGCCAAACTTCAGGAAAAACTCATATTTTCTTATCCGATTTTCATTTGTTTAAGTTGAATTGGTTGATTACAAAATTTCACCAATCAACAATATTTTACAGATGTATTGGCGTTTCTGGGATAGAAATATTATTTTAATATATGTTCGAAAATATCGCCATTGACCATAGGCGCAAACTTTTCATCCTTGTTAGAGAGAGGGGGCCCCAAAAAATCTAGGGAGTTTATATTAAGTATGAAAATTATGAGCGATAATTAACAGAATAAAATTATTGTAAAACGAACAATATAATGCTATATGTAAAAATAAATTTATATATATTTTTTGTATGAGTATAGTTGAAAATATTTTAATAAAGCAATTGATATATTACATATTTATTTAAAATTTTATTTTGTTTTTTGTTTTATTTAGCAAATTTATAAAAATTTGAGCGCAGTGAGATGAACTCTCAATTTTCCTTGGCTTCAAATTTGCTGCGGGAAATTTGATGAAATCCACACATAAAAATAGAAGGGTGCACATAAATGAATCATAAAATCCTAGAATAGGTCGCTAGATATAATTATCTTTGAATATAAACTAAAATTTCAATAATAGGAACATACTTGCGTAGTAAAATGCTTGCGTACCTACTTATAACCTTAACTTATCGACCATCAAGTCGACTTTTCCTTATCCTCATAATTGATTTTAGTTTTCACATTTTATTCATATATGTAGATTAATTGTTTTTGATTTTATTTTTGTTCTTCAAAATATTGGGAGGACGAAACGATATTTGCATCCCCTCTCTATTTTTTTCTAGATTCTGGGCAATCGCCGTCCCCCTCCCTCGATGCCATTGACTTCTAAACATTTTCGGCTTTGTCTTCATCAGTTCAACCTTGACTTCGTCAGTTCAAACTCAATCAGTCCATTCAAAACTGTTGTCGAAGGATGACAGATGCCCTAGTAATTTTTTGATATTTTCCTTTAACGACTCCTGCAGCAATATTAGGACATCCTGATTGTTTACTTTAATTTGTATACCTCATCTTTTAACCATCTCCACATCCAGTGCTGCGAGGTCTGGCGATGTTAGAGGCTACCTAATTAGACCCCGCGACTACTAACGATCATAACCTTTCATCCAAATGTTTAGAAAATACCTATAAGTCAATACATAAAGAAATAAACCGATAATTTGATTAATATTTTAGTTCATTATTTTTTTTTTTCAATTTACATTATTCAATACTGAATACTGTAAAATGATTAGAGAATGAGGCCAAGGAAAAATGTTTTATTGAAATTACGAAAAAATTAAATTAGCCTTTTGGGAATATTTCGGCGTGAAGTGATCCGAAATCGGTCAATAAAATACAGGTCATTTACAAACCATCATAATAAAATCACAACAGCCGTTAATCAATTTTGATTTACCCAAACCCAAAGTATTACTTTAAAACTGGATACTTTAATTCCGAAGATTTATATTTATTTACTTTGTTTTTATGCGATTATTAAATTTAAGAAAAATCACTCATACGTAGTACAAACTCCTTTTTTTCAATTAGACAAACTTTGTCTATTTAATTAATTACTAAAAAACATCTAAATATCCATTTCCTTTCCACTTCAATTGTAAGATAATTTGATCACAAAATCTAGAAAAAAGGCGTCTTTAAAAAATATTGATCCGTTTGGGGTTATCTACACCCCCAAAATGTCAAAATAAGGAGGTTTCGTGGTCACAACTTTTTTTTTCTACAGTATTTAAAACCAAGGTTCAAACTTATTTGCAATGTTACGGACTGCCCTTTATAGAGTTTCGTCAACTTTCACGTTTTCTCGTTCCGCTCTAAATAAAAAATGCTTTCTGCAGTTTCCCTTTGCTAGTTTTGCTAAGTATTTAACTTTGTTGGAAATTGAAAAAAATAAAATTATAATATATTGTTCTTGAAGCTGACACATTTATTTTATAAAATAATATTTAACGTAAATCACATGTTTTCAAGGAAATTAAATGAAATTTACTAGCTAAATGTAAACTTTTAAAATATTTTTAAGTTTGAAAAAGTAATTAAAATAATTAATCACCTAATCAAGGCAATCAACATTGTTTAAAAAACTATTTCATTGAACTTGTGTGAAAGAAGATGTAAAATATAAAATCATTTCATGGATGTATAAAGCGTATGTTTATAACCTTTAATACATTTACTGTAGTTTAATAATTCTAGATCCGATACTATATTTAAATAATTAGGTATCAACGTACGTTTATTCCGAATTATTGTCACCTAACTATTTAGAAAATTAAATTAGTAAATAATTTGATGAATCTTCCCTTTGTGATATTCCAACAGTATCCACTTACAATTAGTGTGACAACTTTTGACCTGTCTATGACAGACGATGCAACTCTCTTAATTCCGTTTTAGTAAACTTTGCAATGGAAAATAACAATTTAATAACTAATAGTCGTACGATCCATAATCAACGTATCGTACAATCCAAAATCAACCGGTGATATAATAAATAGGACTTTTGATATTTTAATGGTATTTATGATTTGTTAGCTGTATTTTTCAAGCTTTAGCTCAGTTGAAACTGCAATTCAAAAATTTTATAATAGCCCAACATGTTCAGAAAATAATTTCTATTAAAAGTTGAGCGGTAAGTGAAAGTTGTGTGTTGCGCGCACCAGAATTTTTTAGCTTATAGTTTAGTAATTAGCTTTTTATTTTACATATAAATCCAATCGCTAGTGATAACCATAAGTTGTTATATTTGGTACATTAATGGAAGTGCAAATAGAGAATTCCTATTTTATTTTTTACTACACCTTTTACAGTATTACTAATTAAAGAGTTATTTATTTGTTTAAGAACTTATATAATAATGTTGTTCACTTCACCGTCATTGTGTACTTGTCCGATAATCTCAACTGTATTTATGCCATTGTTTGTATAGGATTTAAAGATAAGTTAGAAAATTGGAAATTATTGCATGCAAGAAAATATTAAGTTGTTCGCTGGAGATGGAAGTTAATAGAGAGTTTGTATCTTTTCTCAGGAAGTAATAATTATACCTGGCCAAGATTGTAATAATTCTAGAATGTATTTTAGCGGTGTCATGTTAAAGATCAAAAACTTCCATATAATCAAAGTTTAGACTTAAAAGTAAATAAAACACAAAAAAAAAACTAGTTAAAGTCAAGCATATTTTGGCACTGATGGGTTCAAAGAGACATATTCGTTTATATTTTAAATTCGTATTATTCAAAATGCCTGAAATTTTATTTTTTAACAAATTGAAGATGAGCACTACTGTATATATCAAAAAGATGTAGTAAGACAACAAAAAGTATATATTGGACAAAATACTTTTATGGGAGCAGATGAAAGTGAAAGTTCATAATCAACTAAACGATCACCCAGAGAAAGGGTCATTTTAATTGCTCACTGTGAGTTCTGTAACAGTAGTTTCTCAGTGGAGGTTTCTCTACACAATAGGTTACGCTCGTGGTGTTCTTACCTGTATAGCTTTCCTTAAGAATCCGGAAATAATGTTTGCTATCACAAATTACGTCTATAACAGCCATAAAAAATACATGAACAGTATTACCGAAAAAAATAATAATTATATATGATCCTGTACCTGGTACAGGTTTTTTTTTATGAGATTTAATAATTAATTAATTGAAAGACTCATTGTTTTAAATATTGAAAGAGAATGAAAGAAAAAGTCTATATTGACTGAATGGCTTAATTTTCTTTCGTATACTGATGAAAAATATCTATTAATTATGTGAAAAAAATAGAATATAAAAATAAGTAATAATAAAAATATACAATACATCCAAAGTCCTGACCAACATTATTGATGTATTTGTATACATACATACATATATATATATATATATATATATATATATATATATATATATATATATATATATATATATACATTTAAAATAAGGTATTCTAGTATAGTAGGTATCTAAAGGGACATTGAAATTTCAGCCCAATCGATTTAGATATAATAAAATACTTAATGTTATTAATAATAAAATTGCTGGATAGTAAGCCTGAAGGAGGAAGAGTTAGGGACGTCCACAACAAGATGGTCGGATGGTATAGAGAGAGTACTGAGAGAGATGATAATCGGAGGATAGAGGAGAGTCACCCAGGACATGGAAGACTGGAGTAGGATCGTAGAGGAGGCCCTGTAGGGCTGTAGCGTCACGAAGTAAGTAAGTAAAATACTTAATATTTAAATACAATTTCGGTCTTAATCTTTCTAATTTTCAAAACATAAATGAAATCAATAGAATGATAATGACGGGAAATAAATAAATTGCAGAGGTAAATTTAGATTTGGCAAAGACTGAAATTTTTGAAATGCAGCAAAATATGGACGAAACGGTATTTTTATCCTCAAATTTGTAAATATAAAATATCTGTGTCCAACTAAACGACTCTGTTACCGGTTTTGACAAACTTCCCCATCTATTAAAAATAATTGAATAAGCTTATTCTTTTATCTTCATAAAAAGAAATTTTAGGATACTGACGGAGAATACCAAAATTGTCCGATCATTTAATTAGTCCTCTGAAACGTAAAAATTCGTTAAAAACCGCACAAAAAAAAAATATGACCTGATAACAAAACAACCCTTGCATAGCGGTTGGAAAATAATAAAACATTTGTAGAAAATCGAATAAACTGTATCAATTCAAATACTGGATAGGTTTGGAGTTAAAAAAAAATTAAATTACCTTTCAAAAAGTTTTATTTAAAAGATATCGTAAAATGTACGCTTACCATAGAAGTTGTGCCAAAAAATATCTTTTTGTCATAACTTTCTTCTCTGTTTTTTCTTGGGATTTTGTTACATACATGAAAATTTGAAAGGCTTTAATTAGAAGACTATAGAAAAGTTTCATTAATCCGTTAGATCCATTATGGCGCTGCGGTCATCAACAAAGTTTCCTTTTATTGCGATTGAAGGATCCGATTTGTTTCACAGGAATCCAGCGGTTATGTAAACTCTAAGAAACCAAAACTGGAAGTAACAGAAGCAGATCACTCGTTCACAAGTTAATCGTGGCACAGACAGACAGACCAACTGCTGAAAATGCGTTTTTTCCGGACTCAAGGATTTCTGAAACGTAAAGATCCGCTAGAAAATAAAAATTAAAAAATTGGCCTGATTATAATACTTCCATTTCCTAGTGAAAGAAAGTAAAAACACCGTAATAGACATACTCAAAACATGAAACGTATCTCCACTATTCTTTATTATATTATAGTACAATACATCAATAATTGTTTTTAGGGTTAGGAGTGTTAAAAGAAGTGGCATTATCTGTTACGCCTGTATGCGGCAACAGCAAATCCTAAAACAAATCCGCTCCGTATTATATATATATGTATATATATATTATTGATATATATATATATATACCTGGTTGTATTTTATTTTACGTAATACTAAAACACAATAATCTAAAAAATTTCTTGAAAGATCAACGTATTCCGGTTGGAGACATGTAATACATTTTACTCAACGCTAGAGTAAGTTATGGTTGTGAATATGAAACAAAAAGAAATTTTTATTTTTATTATTAAGAAAATCATGTTTATTTTCGGGTATGTGAAAAATTAGAAATCTTTCTGATGAATGCAGCCTATGATTTAATTCCACTGTATAAGGATTATGTTAAACATTTCCATTTTTATAACTTTAGAGGGATTTTTCATCTAAATGTATTCATGAGTGCTGTGTTGTTTTCATAGAAATAAATTATTTATTGATTTTCCAATGCTGATTAAATGTAAAAAACCAAACAGTTTCGTTCGATGAAAAACTATGTCCTAATATCAGAAACCTGTGACAAATCATTTTTAGTAATAGGTGCAACTTTCAAAACCAGCGACAATATTACTATTTTTATATAGAAATATATAGGCTTAAAGGAAATCGAATTGTTCCAACACCTTCTTAACGTCGTTTGGAAGTCTCTATCATAATCCCAATTTTCTAAAAAAGGTGATAACCGTGAATGTCAGAACCATACCTAAATATCTCTACTCAGCATCCCCTACAAAGTTTATTCCAAGGTACTCGAAAAGCGGCTGAGAGGCATTATAGAACAAAAGCTTGGGAAAGAACAATATGGCTTCCGGCCTAACAGCAGCAAACAGGATCTGATATTCACGATGAGGCAAATATCCAGGAAGGTTATGGAAAAGAGCAGAGAGATCTTCGCTTGTTTAGTAGACCTCGATAAAGCATTTTACAGAGTGCAGAAAGCAGACAAGAGCATTGGAAGAATATGGCGTTCATATAGGATTGAGAAAAGCCATACTAAGTCTGCATGGAACGCAGAAAAATGTTTTCCGGATGTGCAAACATACATCAAAGGAATTTTCAACAGATCAAGGAATCAGACAGGGATGCAGCCATGTGGAATCGGCCTGGAAGCTAGTTATGGATTTTAAATAACTGGGTGTTCCCCTCCTCAACGAGTACCGATGGGTTTATGGAGACATAAATGAAAGGATCAAGACGGCTGGAAAATGCTTCCACTCCCTCAAGACAGGCTTCTTGGACAAGAAGGGGGTCTCATATCAAGTCTCAAGTCAAAGGCACTAAGAATATTGTCTTCAAGAATACCTCCCTCCCTGTATTAATATACTCAAGCGAGTCTTGGACCCTCACTTCCAAGCAAAAAATAAAAATAAAAACTTTGGAAATACGGCATTTAAGGAAAATAGAGGGGAAAACAAGAAGAGATCGCGTGAGGAATGTGACCATAACAGCATATCTTGACCTGAGACCTGCAGAGGAAATAATTCACGAGAACCAATTTAGGTGGTTTGAACATGTCTCGCGAATGGCTGAAAACAGAATTGCCAGGGCTACCTACAAGGTCAGAGTGGAGAGAAGGCGGCCACAGGGGAGACAAAGAAACAGATGGGAAGAAGGAATCAATCAAGCCTTTGACAGGAGGGAAATGAACTGGAGGAGGAGAAGGAAGCTGGCTGAGAACAGAGATTCTTGGGTCAGGCTCTATAAGAAGGAATCTCACACTGCTCAGCGTTATCAAAGAGGACTGGATTAAGTAAGTAAGTATAAATTCTACTAGCTACGAGAAGTTTGGCATAACACAGTTTCTCAAAAAATAAAACAATTATATAAAAAACGACTATTTGCTCTCAAAACGCTTTGCACTTTTAATGCACCAGGCAGAATTATTTATTTATTTTTTTTTTAAAGGAACTAAGTCACCAAGATTCTTTTTGATGAAAGATACTCGTAACTTATTATGTTATTAAATGGAAAGTTTCTATCATAATCCCCATTTTCAAAAAAAGGTGATAACCTGAATGTCAGAACCATCGAGAAATATCTCTACTCAGCATCCAGTACAAAGTTTATTCCAAGCTGCTCGAAAAGTGGCTGAGGGGCCTTAGAGAACAAAAGCTAGGGTCAGTATTATGTCATAAGCAAGGATGAGAGTTGATTTTTCGATATTATTTTGCAAGAAATTGAGTAGTACTTAATGAATAATATCACAATAATCACTCAATTTCTATATCAACAATTACGCAAAATGTGAAGGATGGTTACTTTCTGAATAATTAAATTCAGTTAACTACGATCGAAAATTGATCCTAAGCCCCAATTGGACATTAAGTTTAACTTTATACCTCATAAGAAACCTTATTGGTCTACTTCATTTCTTTCAGAAAGATGTAAAGTATATCGCAATTTACATCTCCTTGAACTGTTTATACCTCTCAGTAACACTTTTACTACTGTGAATGCTAGAGGTTATAACATTGCTCCCTCCATTCATCTATTCTTATCTTATCTTCGTCGTATTAAGGATAGTGTGATTAATTGACAAGTGCTCGGTTCAAGACCGGTCATCTCAGTCATTTTATTCCTTGCATTCCTGACATTATAGTTTTCTTAAAGGCTGTTAAAATGTTTCATTTTCTTGGTCTCCATTGGGATGATATTGTGTATTTAATACTGCTTTTTGGCTCAATCGGATTTGGTTCGTTTTTCAGAAGCATTAAAAACCCTAAAGACAGGCAAAACATTAGTTCGTTAATAGGATTCATAATAGTGATTATAGTATCTGGAAGACATACAGTTTATCCATTAATATGTACTTTAATTAATGCCCTGATTATAAAATGTTTGGATAGAAAGTAAGTGTTAAATTTTAGAGACAAAATGTTACAATTAATTTTATTTAACTTGATTATGTTTAATTTTTAATATGTAAATTAGTTATGCCTCTTTTATATCGTTTCATTAAAGATATTATTTTGATAAATTTGAATAGTCATCTTTTGGCACTGCTTAGTACCAATGCATATTGGTCCACATGATTTCTTAAAAACAGAAAGTCGTATGAAAGAGTTCGATTATGGATGGAGAGTGATTAGCTAGGAGACTTGTTACTAAGTGAGTCACTTAAGAAGTCACCAGTTACTAGTATGGCCAATGCAGCATGTTAGATTGCCATTAAGACAGAAACTCTTACAATTTGATTGGGAATTTCTACCTCACCCTCCTTAGTCTCCAAATCTTGTTTCTTTTGTTAAAAAATGGTTTCTTTGAGAAAGGTGACAAATTTGACAGTAAAATAAAAATTCATCTTCATGAATATTTTGCAAGTAAGTCTCAAAAATTTTGGAAAAAGGACATAAGAGGCTTTCTGAGAAATGGAAGAAGGTAATAGAGCAATCAGTTCATATATAACACAGTTAATAAACCTTAAACAACAAATAAAGAAAAAGGAAAGAACTTACAGGACACCCTAATATTTATATGCTGTCTTTAATGATATTTAAAATTTTTATTTCACCAGTTTTATGAGGAATGAATTACTCTTTTTTAAATTATATGAGTAATTCATTCCTCATAATAAATGCAAATAAATTATGTATGAAATAAAATATACATGATTCCATTCAGGATCTGAAATTATGAACAAAATTATGAATATTTGATTTAATTCAAAATTTATTTGCGAATTATAGAATTTAATGTTGCAGAATTCAAATTTTGATAATACTTCATTATTTATTCTCTATAGAGCTAATTAATTAGCAAAAACTCTCTCCTGACTGAGCTGAGTATTCTCAGGACAGTTTCTATCCGATAGAACTTGGATAATTAGTTAATGCTGAGGAGTTATGTTCCATGGATCATGATTGAGTTGTCACTTAAACTTAAACTTATCTGTTAGAATTTATACTGGTGGGAAGAGTATTTCTGAGTTAGCCACGATGTGACTAATGAGCAATGTAATCAAAACAGTAATCACTAAAGAATTGGAACAGAAACGGCAGTTGGAGTTAAAGGAGAAGCAATGGGCTTCATTACTAGAAGAAAATGGAAGAGTACCAGTTGATCTCCCTAAAAGTTAGGCCGTTGCACAGTTCAGGATGAAAACCGGACATGACTATCTCCAAAGCCATCTATACCGTATTGGAGTTGTCGAATCAGCAACATGTCCACTGTGTCGACAAGGATTCATGACTGCTCTGCATCTACTGACTTGTCCCGAACTACAGGACATTAGAAACAGAGCCTAGACAGAAGGTGAAATTTACTGGGCTGCTAGACGTCGCATTACCGAAAGAGCTCAAGACGATCATGGCATAAGATAAAAAATAAAGAACTAATGAGCAATGGATTGCTACTCACTGTAATTCAGTGTATAGATAATATATATATGTATAAATTCATATTAGAATAATATGTTGCAAAGCACTTGGTTTTTCTAATTCCTAATTATGACTTAATTTTAAGAAAAAAGAAATTATAGATAATTTATTGTATTAAATATATCTGGATTATGCATTATCAGGAACTCCTTAGTTCTACTTGTAGAGGGTGTGTTACATACTCCCCTTCCCGAGGGTGGGCTACATTTTTAAAGTGAAATATTGGTTTCTATATAAAAACTTAATGCTTTTGATATCTATTTCAATTAAGAACAGGAGTGCTAATGATTTTAGGTATTTAAACATATCTTTATTTGTGAATATTTTTTTTTAAATGTTGGTTGTGTGTGTTTGGTACATTGATGGATTTAATTTCAAAAAAATGTTCTGACAATTCTCATCCCCAAAACGTTTTTTCTCATTATTTAAGTTAATCAACTTTTTTTTTAATTACCTGCTGAGTTCCTGATAATCTATGATCCAGATAAATCTAAAAATATAGAGTAATGATTATAATTTCTAAATATGTTTATATTTTATGCATTTTAAATTTTTTTTCTTTTTTTTTTTTTAGTATTGCCTATAATTTTGTTTCAGAATTGTTCATAAAGTGAGTTTTGTTTTTTCGTTCACGTTTTTGATTCTGTTCCGTTCTGTTGAGTATTTTGGTCTTCCGGCTTACCCCAATCCCACTAATCTGGTGATGATGATAATGACATTGAAGGTATGTTGGGTAGAGTGTAATAGAAATTATTGGTTATTATGTAAATGTACTGATTCTTCTAATCTGTTGATATTTAGATGGTGGGTCTAGCCTTTGAAGTAAATGATGTCTATAAACACCAAAATAATCTTAAGGACAACAAATCTCAAGAAACAAGACTTATTGAAATACCTTCATTTATTGATATTTTTCACTATGGTTATTCATATTTAGGAGTTCTAGCAGGTAACTTTTTAATTAAATTACAATATTGTGTTAGCTATTTAAAAAAAAAAAAAATTTTCTTTTCTTTTATCTTATTTGTATTTTTTTTAATTAATAAATAAAGTAAATTGTCTTCATAAATATTTAAAGAATTTCATCTTTTGTTTGGCTAACTTTTTATTTTCAGGCAATCTTATCTGCCATTTAAATATATTTATAGGTTTTAGGAGAGTCTGGTAGCTTAGACAGTAAGGCACTGAGCCTCTATTCTCAAGGTGCCAAATTTAGTCCAGCTGTGGCATGTAATTAATTAGTTAGATCAATCATTAAAAGAATGCTGGGTGGCCGAGTGGATTGTGTGTGCAAAATATTTTTTGTCTGGAAACCTGATAAACCAAACATTGCGACTTAAAATACTGATGCCGGGGTGGGATGAGTGGGGAGGGGGAAGACTTGAGATTCTGCCATTAATTCTCCTCCCTCACCTCTGTTCTGGGAAAAATGAATCGACTTTGTGATAGGAGATCCTCCGGAGTCACACCCAGCCTCTTTCAAATTGTATTCTGAATTAAATAATTAATTAAGGGGTAAAATCTAGCAATGTAGCATGCTCTCGCCCCTTTCGCCTTCCTGCACAACCATTGGCTTTGAAACAGCACTTCTTTAAAAATAGATGGTAAAAGATATAGATTATTGTGAAAATAATCAAATCTCTGGAGTTCACTGGCATTTGATCAAATAGTTATGCTTGTATATAACTCAGACTAATTTTTTTTTTTTTTTTATCATAATATTTTGCAGCTACAAATATTATTGATATTACTAGTATTTTAATAATTGGTTAGTCAGAGAAGTATCTATTCATTATTAATAAATGTTTTATCATTAAAATGTTTACTGTTTAAGATATTTTATAAAATAAGGCATATTATGAATAATATCTGATAGTATCACATTAAATGTCAATTTTTTTTTTTTTTTTTGTAAAATTAATAAAACAAGATAAAATAACAATTTTTTTATTAATCTAAGTATGCTTCTTTAAAATCTATATTATACAAGTAAGTGAAATACTGTATACAAGACTACGTTGTTGTCAGGTGTGCAAATGGTGTCACGTTAGATCATTTAGCCTATTGGTCCATATCCAGTGCCATTTGTCTCTTCTGCATGCTTATGTTGTCTCATCTTCCTCTTGCTTTCTTATTTCTTTCAGTGTACATGTAGTTATATGTTGGTATTAATGTCTAGTTATAGGTATGTGTGGCTTTAATATAATCTTTCTGGTTTATATTTATAGAGCCACCTGGCTTTTAGATCTTCTGTTCTCATGGTAAACTGCTTAAACTGTATTTAACCATTTCATTTACAGGTTGTATGTCTTATTGTTCTCTTTTCATTTTTAGTCATTTGTTACTGTTGTTTTCATTATTTACTGGAAGCATTACATTTCCAAGAACTTTATTTTATTAATATGTTTATCCATAGCGGAGATTAAGGTTAAGTTGGAAGCGGGAAATGCTAGTTATTAGTACTATGCTAGTTAGGAAATGCTAGTACTCGCCTCCTGTCCCGAAACTTAAAAATTCAAATTTACAAAACCATTATCCTTTCTACAGTTCTGTATGGATGTGAAACATGGCCGCTTACATTAAGGGATGAGCAACATCTTAAGGTTTTTGAAACTAAAGTATTGCACCGAATATTCAGACCGAAGAAGGATGAGTCAACCGGAGAATTTAGGCGGTAGCACTCTGGATTGCGTGAACTGTATCCGGTTAATATAATTGAGATTATTAATTTGAAGCGAATAAAATGGGCATATAAAATTGCTGGGCTTAGTAATGAAAGAATTCTCAAAACGTTAATATGCACTATGCCGACTGCCAAGTGTCCGAGTGGTAGACCAAAGCTATGGTGGGAAGATTGCGTTGAGGCTGATCTGGCGGGATTGGGTTTAGATGGCACCCGGTGGATTGAAGAATGTGGACATTGATTGGTGGTATCATCATCGAACCTAAAAGTAAATGTAATGTTTCATGGGGTTGTAGATTTGTAGATGGGCTGTAGCGCCAAAAAAATAAGATTAATAATAAGAATCTTTCATGATAATGGAACTGCAAAAATAGCCTTCCAGAGATTTATTTATTTTTAGATTGCATTTTTATATCAGTTGATATAAAACAAAACTTTGCACTTATGAGAAGGAGTTAATTTAAGCTAACATAAACTTGTTTTGATCAATTGAAAACTTGTTATTTTTTCCCTTGTTTTATTATTTTGTAATATTGATATTTCGTGCCTTACAAACAAACATTTTTTTTTCTATTTCCATTTGACTAATAAGTAATGAGTTTTATTTGTCTAATCTTCTATTATTTTTAACAAAAGTTTTCTTCAGGTCCTTATTATACATATCGAACATACTGTGATTTGTTTACTGCTCCATTTTGGAAGTATGCCAATTGTGAATCTGTTGCTTTAGAAAGATTTAAGTACCTGCCACTCTATGGGGTTATATTTCTTGTACTTAGCTACTATTATCCTTTTAGCGTATGTATTTTTATAGATTACTATTACTTAGCCAATCTTTGTTTCCCATGTTTTACTTATTGTTATGATTTTTAAAACATAAATATCTATATTTCGAATTTAGGGTTATAATTTAAGGATCAAGGGATCTTTTTTTTTCATGAAACATACATTTATATTCAGTTTCTGTGTATTTCTATTTGTGTAACATAATTATTGATCTTTATAAAGTTTCCGTGTATGTTGATAACATATTATGTAAAGCTAATAATTAGAAGGCTAGTTATCTACTCTAATACTAAACCTGAACAGAAACTAAACTTGTGGATCAACATTTTTGCTTCCCACAGCCTTATTTTTTTTAGGTACTCAGTTATCTTCATGGCTGGCTGGAGCACTTTTGTTGGGATTTGATTCTAATTCTGTAGTTATAGCCAGTGATGATCTTCACACCATTACACTGCAGCTGAAGTATAAATAAAAATAATGATTTGATTGATGATTTTAATAAAGTTGGTTGAATAACAATGTTTGAATATGCCAAAACCTGGGATTGAACCTAAATCTATGTCTCAGAGATGCGTTTCAGATGTTTCTATTAAGCTTTTCTTCATCAAACTTGACAATGTTACATGTACAGTGCCTTATGTTACAAATTACAGATCATTTGATTCCATGGCATGTAGTTTGAATTCATTCATTGAAATCATCTTTACTAGGGCTAAATATTTTACTTGATTTGCAAAAATCTTTGAGTGGTATTTTCCTTAGAATTTTGTATATTTTTCATATTTGTAAAGAATACATAACAGTCCTGTAAGTCTTAATTTTAGTTTTCTGCTTAGTTGACCTGACTGAATAATTTTATGGTGGAAAAGTAACTCGTTTATTACAATACTTAAGTAACTCGTTTCAACAATATTTAACTTATTTCAATATTACTCGCTGCTGTTTATAAATATTATTTATTCTTTTCAACTATTTTATTTAATCAATCAATTTATTTATTCAGAATTTTCCTTTTTGGCTCTTCACTGATTGATAGGTTAGTCAGGCAGATGGTGTCCCTGCTCTTCAGATAAGTGAAAGCGATTGTTCTTCCTGCGATGCAATGGTCATGGAATAATAAATGACTGCAAAGGATGTGTAATATGATTTATACATCGTTGCTCAGCACATAATATTCTTATCAGAGCAATTGTGTTTTGTTCTTAGTCTATAGGATCCTACAATCTCTGTACGTTTGTTGAAATTATTCAATGAAGCTTAAGATTCCTGGCAGTATAATAGCTCAATTAGTGGAGAATACCATGTGAGGTTGTGAGTTATGAATTACAAAAATATCTTCTTGATTCTTAATTGAGTTCCTATTTCCCCTTAATTAAGAATTGAAAAAAATACATCCAAAGTTTTTATTATAAAGGTAACGAACGTTTCGAACTTTTTAAACGTGTTGAGTACAAATGATTTTGAAACTACTTTTCTTTTTTTTTTATCTTATTTAGTGCTTCTTTTTTCTCGTATAATTTTTGATTTTGTAGTACTTATATTGTTTGGAGATTGGTTGTGATGGTAAATGAGTATTGACCATACCAAACTCGTAGTGTAAATTGGTAATAGTTATAATTTAAACTGCGTTAATATGAAGCTTCCTTCACTTCATTAGTTATTTACATCTTGTTTGCTAGAATTGTTAAAGAAGTATAGTATTAATTATTAAATATATTATTGTAAGCATTGTAAGAAAAATTAATTCAAATAGTTGTAATGGAATTGTATTATTTTATCATACTTCATTTTCTTTTTATAGGAAGTTGAAGATATTGAGTATTTTAATGAAAGAAGTCTATGGTACAGATTATGGTTTAGTTTCCCATCATTTGCTCAATTTCGGATGAGGATGTATATTGGTATGAGATTGGCTGAAATTGTCATAATTATGGGTGGCTTGGGTGCGTACCCTGAATTTTGTAAACCAGCTACTCTAGGTCCGACTACCAATTTGAGGCAATTAACAGAATTGTGAGTGGTCATTGTTTAATTCTATATAATAATTTCAAGACATTTAAATTCTCAAGATATATAAATACTTGTATGAGTGACTTTATATTAAAGGCATATATTCTCCATTTTCAAAAAGTTGATAAAAAACAATTTTTGTTAATAGCTTTAAACTAAACCAATTCTGATGGTTTTTAAAAAGAACTTTTAAGTTTAAGTTGAAAAAAAAAGTTCTGAAATTGTTTATATAACAAAGAAATTGTACAGGGTGTCTCTGTTCTTAATGGCTAAACTCTGGAGGGCAATTCTATGCAAAATTTTCAACAAAAAATTTAATACATGGGCTGATTTATGGTGTACTTAGAATTTAATTATCTTGAACAATTTTTGAGCAATTCCTTCTTATTCAATAAAAAATGTGACCAGATTGAGAAAAACATGAAATTGGTCTAAACTTTTTTTCCATTCGGAATCTGCCCATACATCAAATGAACTTTTTTGTTGGAAATTTTGTCTAGAGTCACCGTTTGGCCATTAAGAAATGAGACACCCTGTATAGCAAAATTTTTGTTTTTTCTCAATTTTCTATCTTTAATATGAAGAGACTCAAAAAACTAATAAACAAACATAAAAAAAATATTTTAATTTTAAAAAATCCGACTACAGAAATTGGGAAATTTTATCCACTCTGAGGGAATGTACTTCCATATCAATCTACCAAAATGTTTCAGTAGTTTGGTAGATTGGTAGGGAAATTGACATCTAAGAATATTTAAACTTGGGATAGTGGCCGGGTTCCTTTGACTACAAATTACAGCTCTAGCCAAATATATTTTATGCCGTGTATCGGTACATATAAACATCCGAAAGAATCTTGAGGTGTGATAGGAACCCGACTACTACACCAAGTATAAATAATCATTGTCAATTTCCATACCAATCTACCAAGATGGTTCAGTAGATTTGGAAGCATATTCCTTCAGGATGAATAAAATTGACCAATTTCAATAGTTGGATTTTTTTTTTAATTTTGCATTTTTAGTTTTTAACATATGATCATATTAGATCATTTCAAATCAATCAATAATTGAGATATTTAAACTATAATACAATTTTTTCAGTATTTTGAGGTCAACTTGTTTCAAAACATTCATGGGATCTTACTGAGAAATTACAGCCATCAAAATTAAAAATCGATCATGTCATCAGCTCAAAAAATCTTTACATCTCTTTTAGCAGATCGATTAAATACACTTTACTAGTAATTTGACAGAATCATGAGCTCAAATTATTTCAAAACACTCATGGAATCACACCAAATAATTAGAGCCTTCAAACTTAAAAATTGATCCAGTTGTTTGCTGAAAACAGTGTTGCATACCTTTTAGTGAACATCCCAAGCACATTACAATCATGTCATTTTGCTTTCTAAACTCTTATGGAATCTCGTCGAATAATATTATGTATCAAACTTAAAAATCGATCCAGCCGATCGCTCAAAACAGCATAACAAAGCTGTTTGCAAATTGATTAAACACATCTTATTTAATAATGTGTCACTTTTTTGCTGAAATTTTTTAAAACACTCAAGCGATATTGCAGAATAATTTGAACTATCAAACTTGAAAATCGATCCAGTCGTTCGCTCAAAACGGCGTTACAAAGCTTTTTATAAATTGATTAGACACATCTTATTTAATAATGGGTTAGTATTTTTAGCTCAAATTGTTTGAAAACACCCGGAGGATTTTACAGAATAATTTGAGCCATCAAATTTAAAGAGAAGAATAGTTGGGGTGATCAGTCAATTAAGAAGGCAAATATAAATGATAATATTTATTTTGACATTTGCCAAATGTCAAAATAAATATTATCATTTATATTTGCCTTCTTATTTTACTGATCACTCCAACTTTTCTTCTCTTCATTATTCACGACAGTCAACCACTTTACCCACCATCAAATTTAAAAATTGATCCAGCCGCTCACTCAAAAAAGCGTTACAAAGCTTTTTGTAAATTGATTAAACACATCTTATTTAATAATGGGACAGTATTTTTAGCTCGAAATTGTTTAATATCACTCAGGAGATCTCACATAATAATTTGAAGCCATCAAATTTAAAAAAAGATCCAGTCGGTTCACTCAAAAAAGCGTTACATAGCTTTTAGTGGGTGACCCAAACACATAACCCTCGTTTCGCTTAGCTTAGTTGGATAAAAAATATCTACAAGAAAAGCCTCCTCACTGGTTACCACATAAAAATGAAATTATTTTAAAAAACTTTGTGTTTTAATTATTGGTTTATTTGTTTTTCTTTATATATCTTAATAATTTTTTTTTTTGGGGGGGTTTATAATCAAAATATAAATTTCTTTTAGACGTTTCAGCCATTATTATTCAATTTTTATTTTTTCATATTATACAATTTAATTCATTTTTCTAAAGCTCTTAATAATCAGTATTTTTATTAATAAATGTTAATTTTTTTTAAATTCATTTAATATTGATTTACTTCCATCCTTTTTAATATTTATTTTTAAGCTGTTTATTTTTTTTTATAATTCCTAGAAATAATTTTTTTCTTTATTGAGGACTAGAGAATTTAAAGCTCATAATAAATTTCAGTTATTCTGTTTTTTTTTATTACCATTATATAAACATTGAATTGTTGCTATTATAAATCTAAAACAGCAATTAAATATTAATCTTATCCTCCTTCTTTGATTAACTCATTTCAAAAATTAAAAATATCAACATCTGATAAATAAAAATTTTGATCCATTGCATTACTGCTTTGATATATTTGAAACATATTAATGTGATAAATATTGATATATTTTTTCGATATTTATGTATCTACAGAAAGTGCAACATACCTCAAATAGAGATGTCACTATTTTTATTAATATGAGATTTTTTTTTTTTATTATTAAAATTAAGGTAATTACAAATTTATTGTAACAAACATAATACAAATATGTAATGTAACAAGCACAATATTGTAACTTAAAAAATTTTTAGCCTTGCATCCACAAGAGTATTGGAATTGCAGTTCTGAAGATCGGAATAAAGGTCCCGAAACGTAAACTAGCCTGTTAAGATGTAACGTTAAAAATATACTCGAATTGTTAACAACTGGAAGTTATTATTGCCAAGCAACTAAATTAAATTGACAACTTCCCAGGGAAAAAAAGAAAAAAGAAGATTTTTCTTTTTCTTTTTAATACAATACTAAAATTTAATATGTTAAGGCCAATTAGATGAATTTGGGTGTATTTCTTAAGTTGTGTGTTGTTCATTTATGTTGAGATTAAATATTTTTTTATTAAAATAGTTTTTCTTTTATTTAATTCTTATATTTACGCATAAGAATTTAAAAAGATAATAACTCCTGTGCAACTCCGTCCATTTCAGCATGTTGCGTTAATTTTTATTTGTATGGGTTCTTATTTATGTCTGTTTATTGACACTATACATGCAAGACCTTATTAGTGCTTCTGATTTAATTGTCTAACTTAATTTAATTAACCCCTCTCTAATCCTTCTAAAGTTACATGTTATTACAGATCATTTGTCAAAGACAAGTGATGAAGCTGAAAACATAAAAATGATGCTCTCTGTGATCTGGAACATTTTCTAATTTTGTAAAGATGCAAAACCTTTATTTTAATAGAAAATGCACTTAAAAGATTTTGAAAGCACACTGTATTTATATTTTGGGTATTAACCCAGTTCATATTAATTTATTTAATCTTTTTTGCTAATTAAATGAAAAATTGTTTTGTTACTCTTTAAATTTCTTAAAGCGTTGTCCCCTATAGCATTCTCAAGCCAAAAGCAATAACCAATACATATCCGATCTGGGCAGGTTGTAATTTATTTCGTGGTAGACCCATGGAATAAATCCCAACCTCTCCACTCTGACTAGATTAAGTTGGTTAGGATAACCAGTTGGAGAGTTCATAAAGGTTATATGGTGCCAAAATAAACAAACGAACAATTTTTCAACAGGAGTAATGATGAGGAGAAAGCTAGTAAAGAAAAGTACAACTTTGTGGCAATATATAGCATAGAACCATATCACACAGAATTTGAAACTACCGTGAGGGCTTCTATGAAGTATTGGAATATGTCCGTTCAGTGTTGGCTCACCAGTTATATTTATCTTAGGTCCTCTAAAGCATACAGGTGAGAATATTTGTTTCTTCAATAAAACAAAATAATAATAAAATAAAAAATATCCTTGTTCTTTAACATGAAGTTAAGTTAAATATAATCTCCAACTCATAAAAGTATAGAGAGATCAAGAAAATATAGTTCTAAGAAAAAAATTTTGATTCCATTTGTAATTACGTGGAATTCACTTTACATTTAGTATTTTCATTTATAAAATCTATTCTTAAAATTGCCAATATAATATAATAATCTTAAATTAAATTTCAATTTTTTTTAAATTGAAATATTTGTTTACCATAAATTTAAATGATTAATTTTTACTACATTTATTATTTTAAAAGTTATTTATGTTTTATATTTGTTTTAGGACTTTATTCACTTTTGTTGTTTCTGCTGTATGGCATGGTACTTCACCTGGATATTTCTTTTCATTTGTTTCTGTAGCACTATTTCTTCCAATCGAAGATATTTATAGAAGAAAAAGTAAACAAATGGAAGTTCCCTCTTTTGTAAGTTATGGAATGTTTAACATGTTCGCAATTCAATAGAAATTAATGAACATTTGCACTAACATATTAAAAGCAGCACATTTTTCGGAACTATAAATTTTTTTAGATTTGTTTTTGTCCCATCCTTTATATAATCAAAACTGGTTTATCCGAAAAGACTGGAAGAAATTGGACATTTTCTGGTTCATTTGATCCAAATCCTTGTGACACATTTAATTTAATTCACTAAATTAATATAAATTATATGTAAGGTTACTTGAGCAACCTTTAAACACTTCAACTGTTACTTATCATTAAATCAGATGTTAATGATTATTTATTAGTAAATACCTTCTTGTATTGTTATATTGGATTAGTATTATAATTAACTTGTGTTGTAATAACGTGTAATTAAATTCTTTTACTTTAATTGAATAAATCACGTCTATAAAAGATCTTAGAAATTTAATTACAAGATCTCAACACATAAGAAATGACTCTTCCATACGTTCAAATTGTGAAGAGAAGTGAGGAAGACTTTGTGGTTCATTGTGTTTCAGTTGACAAAAGAAATTGGTTTTTATTACCAGAAGACACCCAGGACTTGAAATTTCATTCGTCTCTATCAAGTAAGAAACCTTGATTAAATGCTGTGTATGCTATAAAAAATGTTAATGGTTATAGAACAATAGGGGTTAAGATTGATGATGACATTAAAAAGGAATATTTTGATGAATCATCTAATATTTGTTTTAGAGAGTTACCATTGGAGGAATGTCTTCCAAAAACAATTCCTTGCAGACCTACAGACACTCAATCAGAATTAGAAGATCATATTAAACGATTAGAGATGCAATTAAAAATTAATTCGGAACAAAATGAAATTAAACTGCATCATATTGAAAAAATTTTATTTTAGAACCATTTGATAAAAAGCAATCAGATCCTATAGAGTGGCTACGTAGGTTCGAAGAAGAATGTCGTCGATTTCAGATAAAATCCGATAATTTAAAAATTCAAGCGTTACGTTTTTATCTCATTAATGGTCCAGTTAATGATTGGTATGAGAATAATTTAAAGAAGATTGAACGATTCATGGGGCATATGGAGGCACTCTTTTAAGAATATTTTTGTTGATAAAGGCTGGTCTCTTGTGAAAAGAGCTTTAGGCTACAAATATTTAGGCGGATCCCTAGTCGACTATGCCCTCACCAAGGAGAGATTATTACTTGACATAGAGCCTAAAGGCACGGAGATCTCCCGTATAAACCAGATTGTTTTCGGTTTACCAAATGAGACTCAGTTGAAACTCGATCGAGAAAAAATTTGTAATTTGTATGAATTATACTCAAAACTATGAAAATTAGAAGATGCATTTATAAAAAAGAAGGTAGAAAAACTATCAAATCCAAAATCTATTGTGAATCCCGCTTTAAATTATTATAAAAAAGGCGAACCACAGCATAAGAGTAATTATCAGCGTAAGTCATGTTCTCACTGCGAAACCCTCGGTTTTCACAATCGTTATCATGTAATGTCTGAATGTCGTAACAAAAATAAAACTCCAAACCAACCAAAAATAAATCAAACTGATCTCGATTTAAGCGAAATCGATCTTGATTCAGAACATTTAAACTAGAAAGCCGGGCGAAGTTAGATCCGCTGATTAAACTAAATGTTGTTATAAATGACAGTATTAAAATTAAGGCTATTTATGATAGTGGCTCAAATGTAACATTAATAAATCAACAAATTGCTGATTTGCTGAAGTTGAAGTTAATTAAACAAAGAGCAGCGTTAAGAACTATCGGCGGACTTAATTTCACCTCAGCCCGGGCTAAAATTAGACTCCATATTGGAGACATTACTGATTACAACATATGTAGTCAAGAATAATAATTTCTCCTATGATTTATTACTAGGTATAGATGCCATCAAGAAATTTAAATTACTACAAGATGAGAATCTAAGAATTTTGCAACGTACCAATGACACAAAAATCATAACATCAGAAGATCTCTCTTCTGATAGAATAGATAGAAAAGATAGAAATATAAATTTAACATGGTCAAAACTTGATCAGATTGAGACATACGGTCCTCTTCAAAACCAGAATACAACTACTTGTAAGAACTTAAGAAGTGTACAACATATTGAACAAGAGGAGCACAAAAAACAGATTTCATATTTACTAAAAAAATACCAACATATTTTTGCTAAAGACAAGTTCGACATAGGTAAAGTTCATTCACGAGAAGCAGAAATAAAACTAATCAGAGATGAGTTTGTCACTTCTCGCCCTTATAAATGTTCTATCCCGGATGACGAAGAAATACGAAGCCAAATAAAAGGACTCTTGCAAGCTGGGATCATCGAAGAATCAGACTCCCCGTTTTCTTCGCCCGTCACACTGGCCTACAAAAAGGAAGAGAAGAGGAAATCTCGACTCTGCATAGATTTCCGAAAGCTAAACAAATTAGTAGTTCCTGAATGTTTCCCGTTTCCTACTATTCAAGATGTAATTGATAGAGTAGCTAATTGTGAATTCTTCACCGTTTTGGACATCAATTCTGCATTTTGGTGCATATCGCTTCGTGAGCGGGATCGGGAAAAGACCTCTTTTATTACGAAATATGGAAAATTTATGTTTAAAGTTCTTCCGTTTGGTATTAAAAATACTTCCGCTATATTCCAGAGAATACTATCCAACATTATAAGAAGAAATAACCTGGACAATTTCTGCATAAACTACATTGATGATATTTTAATTTTTTCTCGGAATTGGGAAGGCCATCTTCAGCATATCAGCAAGGCTTTAGAAGTTATGATCACTGAAGGTTTCAAACTGAAAATAGAAAAATGTCTGTTTGGTGCGAAATCAGTAAAGTACCTAGGACACAAGTTTTCGAAAAATAAAGTGTCACCCGCCCAAGATAATTTAATATCGATTCAGAAACTCCAGAGGCCCTCAGACAAGTCAGGTGTTCGGAGTATTTTAGGCTCCATAAACTTTTATTTGAAGTACATAGAACAAAGTGCTGTCAAACTAGAACCATTGCATCGTTTATTGAAGAAAAATGTTAAATTCGAGTGGTCAGATGAATGTGAAGAAGTTTTCAATATGATAAAAAACTTTTTGTGCAGTTCCCCGGTCCTCGCTATATATGATATTGAGAAGCCTGTCTTCATAGAGACAGATGCAAGCTTAAAAGGTATCGGAGCAACCCTAAAGCAACCACAAGAAGATGGCCTACTTCATCCTGTCGCTTACTACTCACGCAAGCTTTCAGAACGTGAGAAACGTTTAGATGTTATTCACTTGGAATGCAAAGCCATTAAAGATGCGATTAAGTTCTGGCAATACTACTTAATTGGACGTCACTTTACAGTTTGCTGTGATCACAAGCCTTTAGAAAACTTGAGGACAAAAGCCAGATCTGATGAAATTCTGGGAGATTTGATTCTTTATTTATCCCAGTTCAACTTTGATATTATCTATAAACAGGGAAAAGATAACGTTCTGGCTGATCTACTCTCCAGAAATCCAGTCATTGAACACTTCGAGAATGAAGATTCAATCCGGATCACCAACTTAATAGACTTGTCAGCCATAAAAAAAGACCAGGCTGATAATTTTTCAGAGCTGAGAGCGACTGACCAGATTTTATCAAAGCAGGGCATAATTTTCAAAAATATTAGGAAGAAATCAAGAATTTTTGTATCCCAAGCATTTGGAAAAGAAATTATTAAAATCATTCATCAACACTATGGCCATATCGGCCCATCTCACATGAAAGCAACTATCAGACCATATTACTATTTCAAGGGCCTAGATAAAGCAATTAATGACTTCTATAGGAGTTGCAAGATTTGTATTGAGAACAAAACTCGTCGTAGTCGTGCCATCGGCCTGCTCTCCCGTCTTGGCCCAGCCACAGAGCCTTTCCAGATCATGTCGCTCGACAGTGTCGGAGGTCGGAGGTTTCGGAGGGAACCGCTCTTCCAAACGGTACATGCACATTCTCGTTGACCACTTCACAAGATTTGCATGGATCTCTACAACAAAGGGTCAAACAGCTAAAGATTTCATAAACTTACTCGATCCAGTAGTTAAACAACATAATATCTCGATTCTACTGGCTGACCAATATACAGGTATTAACTCAACTTTTTTCCTGAAATATTTGAGAAGTGTTGGGACTCAGATCGTTTTCACATGCATTGACAATCCCAGTTCCAACGGATTAAACGAAAGATTGAATCAGACCTTAGTGAATCGCCTGCGATGTAAGATAAACAATGGCAATAGAAGAGCCTGGTCTACCTTGGCAGAAGAATGTGTGAACGAATACAATAATACCATCCATAGTTCCACCCACTTTGAACCATCGTATCTATTGTTCGGCCATCAATCTTCTATATCTCCACTTGGAAACACTCCATCCTCTTTAGAAGAAGACCGCAAGATAGCTTTCCGGAATTCAACGAGGAGTTTCAGTATCAATAAGAAACGCGTTGATAGGAATAGAACGGAACATACTTTCAACGTTGGCGATTTAGTCTACGTCGAGAATGGCAATAAATTAAGTCGCAATAAGCTTGATCCAGTTCGGATTGGACCATTCCCAGTCGTCAGACGGATTTCTTCGTTGTTCTATGAAGTAGCCAGCGGAAAGAGGAAGAACGTCTCAAACTTGTTCCACTCCAGCAAGCTGCTTCCTTACTTCCCGCCGCCGCCTCAAGAAGCGACCTCCAGGGGGGAGGTGTAAGATTACTTGAGCAACCTTTAAACAATTCAACTGTTTAAATCAGATGTTAATGATTATTTATTAGAAAATACCTTCTTGTATTGTTATATTGGATTAGTATTATAATTAACTTGTGTTGTAATAACGTGTAATTAAATTCTTTTACTTTAATTGAATAAATCACGTCTATAAAAGATCTTAGATATATTTATTTGCTACTAATTATTTTCAATTACATTGTATGTTCTATTTTAATTTTATTCATTTCTACCATCTGTAATTCTTCTCTAATTAATCAGCAAACATTTAAATATGCTTATTAAAAAAAAATTGTGACAATTTCATCCTGTAAAAATGAGATATTAAACTTCTGGTTTATTTACAATTACAGAGAGAGTGAAAATAGTTAGAATTGAAATATAATGGTCACAATTATGATAAAAATGGTTTGCAATGTTTCACAAAAGGAGTAAAGTTACATAACAATGAATATATTTAATGTAGACGGGATTGGAAGAGACTGCATTCATTTGTTTTCTTAAAAAGTTGTACTCTAGTTAAAAAAGAATGAAATAGACTTGAATAAAATTGTCTTGAATTTTTCATCACTAAATTTTTAAATTGAGATTTACTTTAATTTAATTTTGCTGCTTAGTAATTTCACATATTGATTTGAATGTAATATTGATCTTGAAATAATAATTTCAGGTCGCTACATTATGTTGGATATTAGCACACCAGTCGAAACTCTATCTTTTCTCTTACTGGGTTGTCCTGTTCAGGCTACTCGCTTTTTGGCCATGTTGGAACTACCTCTCATCAGTATACTTCATACCAACAATCCTCAGTACTTTAGGAATGTATTTAGCTTCTTTAATAATTTTTAGAAATGTGAGAAGTCCGAAAAGAACTGGTGACAATGCATCAGTAAAGAAGGACTCATAAACCAATAAATTTGTTGGACTTTATATTGAAGATTCTTTATTTTTGTAGATTTATAGTAATCTATGATTATTTATAGTAATTTATCATTGAAAATGATAATTAATAGATATTAGTGAAAATCTTCTGTATATAAAGAAAAGGTTAAGCTCTCTTTCTGTTCTTCCATAACTTATTTGGTTTGGTAACTATATAATATATAAATGATCAACCTTTTTCATTTCTGATATGAATGCCTTTTAATTTTAATACTTCACTTGCTAAATATCGAAATGAGACAATGAAACAAGAATGAATAAATATTAATTAAGTCGCTCTCTATAGTTTTTAGATTAGACTTGTACCTCTTGAATTTATTACCTTATGTATGTATTGTTTATATTTCTATTGACAATGGTAAAACAATCTAGAACACAAGAGCACAAATAAGAAACAGTATTTTAATTTTCAATCATAAGCTCCCAGTATAAATGGATCTACAGTTTGACTACTGTATAATCATCTTTTTTTTTTTTTTTGAGAGGGAGAGGGATCATTATTAATAAACAATAAATAGATAATCATATTTATTATATTATGATGAACACATCTCATATTTTCCCCCTAACTCTTGCAGTGCCACTTTTGCACCATGGATTTGCAATATTTTTGATCACTACTTTATTGGTATAATATTTATCTGTAATATTACAACAATATTATACTATGGTCAGACTAGTATTTTTCCTAACAAAGCAAAAGTTGTCCTCCATGGTCATTTTTATCAGTCTAACCAATTTTGCAGGGTCTTTTCTCTGTTCATGGAATCATAGGCTTGTTGAAAATCAATAAAGAGGTGATGGGTATGTATTTGTTATTATCTTGTCTCCTACAGCAGGATAAGAAGAATAAATATTTGATCTATTGTTGATCTTCCTTTTCAGAATCCACACTGGTATTTCTTACCACACAGATCTGTTTTTGAAATTATATTAAATTTTTCCTTCAACTTACTTTTTCGGCTGTAAGGGATTTTTCTATCTGAATTGTAAAAGTTAAATGCAAATTTTCCACTCTCTAGTAAGTTCAAATTATTCAAAATTTATGGAAAACAATTGTATTCAGGACATTTTTTCTGGCTTGGACATAAAGAAATAAATCATTTTTATTTGCCAAGGTCATTAATTGTTGCAATAAAACTCAAAACAAAACTAGAAGAAATTTTTATATTATCTTTTCAGTGCTTTTGAAAGTCCATCTGATGCAAAAAAAATTATATGAAAAAAATTTTAATTTTATGATAACCAAAGAGGTAAAAGCAAATTATATAAGCCATGGCGCTGAGAGAATTAATTTATACGGATAAAAAAAACATTAATTTGTACATAATAATAATTCTTAAAAATGCATGTCATATTATATATATATATATGAGGAAGTAATAGATTGTCTGGAATTAATGGAAAATGTTTTTATTACTTTGAAAAATGTAAAAAATCAGAAAAAGTGTAAAAAGGTTATAGTAGTTTTTTATATAAGTAAATATTGTTTATAACTAAAGATTTAACCTGCTTTACTATAGCTTAGCATTAATCATTGTTCACAACCATTCTCAAGGGATATGCAGTAGAAATATCAGTAAAATTAGTAGAATGCATTAGTATAATGGTAACTAAGATAAATAGAAGCTTAATTTATTTATTAAAAGATTTGTGGCAGTGCTATTTAATAAGTGAAGTGTATTTTTAACAACTTTGTTACAACGGTGGTCACTACGTCTGACACTCCTTAAGTTAGCCATCTATTTCAATTACCTAATGGCTTGCGCTGACTTTTTTTTTTCTGTCTTCCCCTTTCCCACCTTTTAGGCTATACAGGGAGGGTTTTCCTGGTCGAGGGATTAATGCCAGAGTTAAATGCCTCTGGGATACGAATTCATAATTATTTTATCCAAATTATCCTCTATCAGGTTGCTGGGCAACCCGGTGTTGTGCACACGTGTTAGCCCGCTCAGCCACCCTGCCTACTGGCTGACGGTAACTTTTGACCCTTTGAAATTATTTTGCTCTCTTTTTTATTTAATTTATTCATGCACTTCCTTTTATTCATGAATTTTACTTTCACATTTTTGCTTCCCAAAATTATATAAAAGTAAATAAAAATAAAGAGAAAGAGTAAAGTAAAAGAAATGACTTTCATCTATATTTATTTATAATCATATACATATGGATCTGTAACCTTGAGGGGTTCTTGATGATACAATGTTTCAGAGTCCCTTTTGGTCAGAGTGGGTACTGCCCCCTCCTCATTTTTTTTTTAGTTTTCTTGAAATTTATGCCATTTATTGTTTTATTACTATTTAGTACTTAACAATAATGCTTTTTTTTCAAAAATTAATTTTTATATAATATTTAATAACAACAATATTTTTATTACCATTTTTTTAAAATACCATTTTTAAATATTAAACAATTGGGAAATAAGAAAGGTTTTAATGTTGAGGAACAAAATAAACTTTATAGAATACACAAATAAGGTTAGATTATAGAGTGAATAAAATATAAAATCCAATAAAAGTGAATAAAACATAGAAATATACCATCTCTGTACATCCTCATAACAATGTAATTGGAAGTAAACAATTGATAAATAATTAATTTATAGTTTTATGGAAATCATTATTAATGGATTGACTTATAATCAAATATAGTTAATTGTAATGATAAAATAAGACAATATTTTTATTATATAACCCTATGTTTTGTGCTATAGCAAAATAAATTAGAGTAATATGAAATTTACTATTATTCATGTCCAGAAAAATGAAAGAAGGTAACTACTTCTTTAGAGAACGCAAGATGGTACCTGGTACAATATTGACTCAATACAATTGACAGGTGTAAAGTGCTCTTCAATATATATTTTCTTCAATTGTATTGATCCAATAGTATTGATCATATGAGGGGCCCTTAACACTTAAATACCCTCAAAATAGCAATATGTTTTACTTGTAGTTTGGTAATGTAGATTACTTATAACAAATCAATGTATTTTAGTTATAAATTGAAAACAAGATTAAGAAATTCTATCTATGTGTTTTTACATTCTAAACTTATTATAAATATTAAATTTTGCTAATTTAAAAATACTTACTGAAAGAAAAAATTGAAGTTTTTACTCTTAAAATGTGTTGTGATTTAATTTTTCTTTTCTTGTTGCATCTGTTATTTAAATTTTAAATTGAAAATATTAACACTGTTGTAAACAAATTTTAATATAATTTATTATTCTCAAAGACTTTTTAGTGTGCCAAAACCATGTGATCATACTCCCTTCTACTCCATTGAAAAAACTTATGTTTTTGCTCCCTATCAATATGTCTTTTCTGATTATAAGTGCAATGTGAAAAGATTATGACCTAATTAAGACCTGAAAACTGATTTCATGAGAAAATATCGCAAACATCTTGTTTACAGTTCTATTTTTGAATATGAAATCTGTTGGTTTTATTATGTATTAAACTAACCTTTTAATTGTCTGCAATAAAACACCTGATCATTTAATATATAGTTTACCTAAAATCTCAAAATATAACCTTTTTTTTTGTATTCTAAATTAGAATTTTAATATTTTATTTTAATTTTGAGTTTTCCTCTAATTTTTTTAAACTATTTTAAAAGTGTTCCTTATATTACCTACTATGAAAGTACCATTTGGACACGTTTTAGGACCTTTTTTTAAGGTAATTAGATTAAATTGTATATCATTTTAATTTACTATTATATTTTTCAAATAATAGCTTTTTTTTAGATTTTGTTGTGTCAAAATCATCAGCAAATCACTTCATCAGATTTAAGGTGTTATTTAAATTATCGTACCCAATCATATGTGTTAGTATTACAACCCCTTTCTTTCTAATAATCAATATTAATTTGATTTAATATTATATTTATATTTACTGAATAATTTCTCCTTATGTAATCCTTCATAAATATTCAATAAACCAAGCAAGACTCCTTTTATTTAAATCTGTTGTACTGAAAAAAAAAATTGAAATGATTCTTAGATGTGGTAGGATGGTACCATCACCACTACCATCAAAACATTAAATTTTATGTTTGTCGATTCTCATAAAAACTGATTTTTATTAAATTGTCTGCAAGGAGAGCTGACTTAATTTCATGTTTGCTTCAATTTATTAGTGAAATTATAAAAAAAAAACAACCATGAGCTACGTATTTATCAGTACATGTTTTGGGTTAAGTACTTGATATAGAATTACTGTACTGAGGCCTCTTTCAGGGTATCGCTAGGTGAGTTTTAATTTGCTGTAAACATGTACGATTTGGTTAGTAATATTTGTTTTGCATGTTCATACAGTATAAATTGAGTCCGTATAGTGGTAAGATATTTTGTCCACAAGTAGCTGATAGTAATATTTTAAATTTAAAATTTGATTGGAAAATAGGTAATAATTTGATATTTTTACTGAGTTGGTAATACCCACCATGAAATAGGCTTTGCTTCCACCAATTTCAAAAATACATATGTAATTCATCACAAATATATAATTTATAAAATGTATTACAGTGCTGAGAGTGAGTTGATAAATCTCTATTTATAAACAAACCCATGTTTTTAATTCAATATAAAATTTTGAACTTATTACCTATCGTCATGTCCTTTTGGCTCATTATTTGCTATAATCATCTTTAATATTGAGCAGCCATGTTATGAATATCATTAATATATCTAACAATAATTTACATCTTATGTTAATAAATTATCACATTTTGAATAACCTGTATATTATATTTCAGCAACACAGTGCATACATTAATATAATATGTAAACCATGTCTGTTTGGATCACAAGTGTATCTTATGGTGTTCAGTGTTGTCGCATTGGTAATTTAGTTAATTACATTGTATTTAGTTATTGTTTATTATCTCGGGGTTTATTAAACCATTGGGTGAAAGCATCAGTTATGGACAGTTTGGACTTTAAATGTAAATAATGTGCTTCTTTGTTGATTTTAAGGTTCCAGTTTTTTTCTAGATTAAAGAACAATGCCTTTTATTGACAACTGTATGGACAAAGTTCCCAAAATAAGATTTTAGAACGTCTATCGTTGTTTCTATAGTACTCTTGAGATTGTTGTATTTTATAGCTTCCTACTAACAGTTTTTCTAAGACAAAGTTGAACATTTATGTTCATAGATGTTTAAATTTTAAAATTTTCACCATGAAAATATTCAATTTACCATTTATGAACATCAGATAATCGATTTTAGCATTAAATTTAATTGAAATTAACGTCTTTTTAGGGGATGTCCATCACTAGATCAAAAATTGGTCCAAATCTAGTTACGGACATGAATACATCTAGTTATTAACACTTTTACAAAAATTGATCATGTTTTTATATTTTTTGAGTCTAAAAACAACGGAAAATCACATGATATTCTTAGTTTTTTTCTAAAACATCTCTAACCAGTCTTAGACTGGGGTGTCTATCACTGGGCCCGACCATGTCCATTACTGGGCCCGACCATGTCCATTACTGGGCCCATCGTGTCCATTACTAGACATGCCCATCAATTTTATAAGTTTTAATAGAATTTTATGCTCACTTTCCCTACAAATTCTCTGGAAAATGACATAAAAAGATGTATCCTTTGAAAGGTTTTACTTATTCATTTTCCGTTTTAAAAACTGAAAAATCAAATTATTCTTTAGATAAAAATATCTACTTTTCCATAGAAAAACAAATATTTCAGTTATAAAATAAAAAGAACTGACTTTGTAATAGAACAGATTCAAATAGTTCAAAACACCGTTTTTCTGCACCAAGTTTCTGCACCAAAATAATTTTTTTTTTTTGCTTTTTCTATCTTTCAATTTCTTTATCTTTCAAATAGACACATATAATTAACCAAAAAATGTTTACTTTTTGTTTTCTTGATTAAATACAATGGTTCATTGTAGAAAACAATAAACCTTAAAAATGAAGAGTGTTTATAGGGTCAACATTTGTTTATAAGGTCACAGAAAAATTGAGCGGTACAGAAATTAAGGTTTATCAATTGAACTCCTGCAATCAACTGAAGACTGTATTTTTTTAAAGTAGTCTAGAAGTCAATATTATATCTATATAACATCAAAAATATATTATATGAATTGCCTAAATCAGAGGTCTCTAAATTACCCCAAGCACCAAGGACTCGGCAAGCACTTTCAATCTGCCCCACAAAAATTTCTTTGATAAGATTTGTAAAATTTGAAAAACTATTTAAAATTATGAAATTTAGCAAATTATTCTCACAAGAGGTTACTACAATATTTATTGCATGGTTATTTTTTTCCTCTTAGAAAGCTCATTTCACAGATGAAGTGATATTTATAAAACAACATACTTTTTTTCATCACTAGTCATGGCCCGCAGGGCTTTGTTGGAGGTCTCAATGCGGTCCGTGGAACATAGTTGAGGCCTTAATGTGGCCTGCTGGCCAAAAAGTTTAGAGACCCCTAGCATAAACTACTAGTTTTCGGAAACAAAGGTAACTGATGTTTTAATTTCCCTAAAGTATAAATGTTTACTGTCGAATATGTATTTATCTTTTACAATATTAATAAAAGTAATTTGAAAATAAGGCAGTTTAATCAAATTTTTTTAAATTAATATATTTCCAATAATGTAAGCATCTCAAGAATTTATAGATCAACTTTTTATATACATTTGTTAACACCATAAACCAATTAATTAATTAAACTAACGGTAATTATAATTTTTTATAGTTTAATAAAGATTTTAGAATTTTTCTGAGGTATGTCTACAACTGGTACCGACCGTCAGTCAATTACTAAAAGAATTGAATTTCGGTGTGTCCATCACTAGTGCAAAAAGGTGTTTTTTTTTTTTTAATGGAGATTACACCTGTAATATTTTTTTCAGTGTCAAATAGAAAAAGGAGACCCTAGAGATTCTAAATGTCCAAGGAGAAGTTTATAACTCTAATAATTACGGCAGCATAAGCCAAAAAAGACAAAAATTTCCTTAGCTATGTCCATCACTGGTGTGCTTACCCTACATGGTTTTTCTTTTCTCGATAATGTGAAGTAACATTTCCTAGTTTTTCCAATTTCTAGGTTTCTCTCATTCTTTCATGATCCAATTCCATTTCATGAGTTGAAAGATAGGTTCAATAATTATACATTCCTCAGCTGCTACGCACCCACGGAAGTGTCTCCTGATGATGAGAAGGAGTCATTCTATGATCAGTTAGACAGGACCCTCGACAGTTGCCCTAAAAATGATGTAAAGATCATCATAGGAGACTTTAATGCAAAGGTTGGCAAGGAACTAGTCTTCAAACCCACTATTGGAATGCACAGTCTCCATAACGACACAAATGAGAATGGCTGAATGCTGATAAACTTTGCTGCATCCAACAACCTGGTTGTCGGCAGCACGCTCTTCCCTGGCAAAAACATCCATAAAGGAACATGGTGCTCTCCTGACGGAAGTACTGTGAACCAAATAGATCATATCCTGGTCAGTAGGAGGCACAGATCCAATCTTATAAGTTGCAGATCCTACCTAGGAGCCAACATGGATACCGACCACTATCTGGTGATATCTAGGACCAGAGCCAGGATTAAGGATCCAGAAGTCAATGAACGCTACTGCCAAATGTTGGATGAACTGGTGACAGGTGCAGGCTTGTCAGAGAGCTCTGCAGAAGAACAGTGGAACATCCTATCCCGAATCGTTAAGGAAACAGCAAAGGAAATTGTAGGGATAGAGGAATGAACAGTTAGTTTCCTGTTGCTCTATCTAGTTGCTTAAAAATTATAGCCTTTTATCTCATGTTAATATAAATGATTTAACAACATACCCAAAGGAATCTATTTTGACAAGTTAAAAAAAATTTAATTATCACAAATTTTTAGCGAAATAAAGGCAGATGATTGAATATACCTAAAATAAATGTGTAAATGATCATTGGTGAATATTCAATATCAAGGTAAATGACCCCTGGATTGGACTATTTTCTGGACTTTATTTGACTCTCATGTTACGTTAATTTAATGGCTGATATTAATCAAAATATAGCAGCTGGTATTGAAGAATAACTCGATAACTCATTTTTTTCATTAAGAATTAAAAATTTTCAAACGTTGTTATGGTTAATTAGTTTAGTGAAAAGTAATTTGTCACAGGACTTTTTGTAACTGTCTATTATGTAATGGGTTACTAGTAAATTCTTTCTGTAATATGAAATTTTTATATTAAAAATTAAATATTTTTCCATATCATTAGATTATTACAATTTCGGATCTTAACAGACTTATTGGACAAGGATGTTTGTCACCTTCCTTGCTGAAATCACTTGGTCCTAAAGGTAAATATTTATTTTATCATTTCTTTAATAGTGTATTTATCTATTTTTCAATACAAAATCATATTTCAGTTTGTCCCACTTTTTTAAAGAATTCAAAGTTGATAGGCAGTGGAATAAATATATATACTTATCTCTTTCTCCTGCTGGGCGTTGTCTATGTGAGTTATTTATTCTTTTTCATTAAAAAAAAAAAATTAAATAAAATATAATTTATCAAGATTTCTAAAACTTTTAGAATTATCCTGTATTTTTGATGCCTTACCTCTTTCTTCAATTCCTCAATATTTCTTTGCTCGCTATGTTGCTAACTCTGACTGTAATTACTAATTGGAGCAATCTTGAAAAGAAGAATTTGCCACTCTTCGGTAAGTCCGATTTTACTTTTATTATCAAGTTTATGACTTAAAAATTATATATTGGCGGCTAAGCTAATCATTTTTTCAATCTTTAGTTTTGTAATAATTTCTATCACTTAACCTTAAATTTAATTAACTTCTTCTTATATGAGGCTACGTCCTAGATGGAGACAAGGCCTCTTGCAGCTTTGTCCCCTCAGTCATTGCTATTCTGTACTGCAGCCTTTCAGTTCCCGACCCCAAGCATGGTTCGGTTATCTACAGTTATGCCATCCATCCACCACCTTATTCCACGAAACTTGGAAGACCAATTTTGTGGTGGATGGATAGAGGAAGACCTCTCCTTAATTTGTCAAATATTTTTTCTATAAGTATGTTTTTGGGATCTGACCCTTACGTATTCTAGTGACATGTCCAGCTCATCTAAGGTGGTTTACTTTAATAAAGGTCACCATATCAGCATTCCCATAAAGTTGCATTAATTCGGCTTTAGTCCGCTGTCTCCAGATTCTACTTACACATTTTGTCCTCATGATGCTCCTCAGGATTCGCCTCTCAAACCTGAATCCCGATAATAGTCCAGCATTCAATAGCATAAGTAAGTACTAGGTATAAGGATACTATTCTGCTCTTGAACTAACTAATTCATGGTAGTATCTGTTTGCAGAGACAATTCGACAATATATCTCCTGCAATGGGAATCTGCTCCATGGGCGGCTGCATTCATGTATTTTGTTTTTGTCCCATTCAGGGGTGCCCGAAAGGGTGTTTATGGCATAAGTTGTGCCATCAAAATTTTTCAGAGACACATTTTGATGGGGTTTAGAATATTTGAGGTGATTATGAATATTCAATATGAAAAGTTGAATATTCAAACCAAAAGACAAGGGGAAGCATGGAACATTCTGGAGAATGTGTAATTACATATAATCTTTTTTTTTTTTTTTTGTCCTTCCCTTCCTCGCTGTTAAGGCTATACGGGATTTTCCCAGGCCAGGGGATGTGAGCGGTGATTTAAAAGACTCCCCCGACACCGGGACGCGAACTCGTGTCTATTTTTATATCTTTGATTCATTTATCAGGTTGCCGGGCAACGGCGGTGCAGTGCACACGGGTTAGCCCATTCGGCCACCCCGCCCACATAAAATTAGTAGGGTTGACCGTGTTACACACGGCCTATGCCTGGGTTTGTATATTCCATCCTTGTCAAGGGGAGTGCTAAACTTCTCTCCTTTTTTACTACACAGTTACATATAATCTATGAATTCTTAAATTATACTTTCACTTGCACTGTTTTTAAGAAGAAGAGAGCAACAAAATATTTTGGGATGGAGGGATGGATTCCCATGGCCCCATTAATAATGAACCCTATTCTTTTAACTGCCCTTTAGAGCTCCAAGAATTCATCTTTCATGTCTTCAAAGTTTCTTCTCATTATGTCAATGTCATATCCAATCTTCATATCAAAGGATCATTGCAGTTATATTGAAAATTGAACCTCCGACTCCAAGTTAAAGAGTAAGACGAAGATGGAGATAATGGATATTTATCTCATACTCCCTGTAATACAGACATCCATTATGAGGTTGTGCATATATTTTACTATTTCTTCACCACCTTATTTGAATAGCTCCTTATTCTCAAGCCATTAGCATTCCTCCCATCGTGGATGCTGTGCTTACAATATTTGAATATTTGGCCCCATTAATAATGAACCCTATACTGCCCTTTGGAGCTCCAAGAATTCATCTTTCATGTCTTCAAAGTTTCTTCTCATTATGTCAATGTCATATCCAATCTGCATATCAAAGGATCATTGCAGTTATATTGAAAATTGAACCTCCGACTCCAAGTTAAAGAGTAAAACGAAGATGGGGATTATGGATATTTATCTCATACTTCCTGTAATACAGACATCCATTATGAGGTTGTGCATATATTTTACTATTTCTTCACCACCTTATTTGAATAGCTCCTTATTCTCAAGTCATTAGCATTCCTCCCATCGTGGATGCTGTGCTTACAATATTTGAATATTTGGCCCCATTAATAATGAACCCTATACTGCCCTTTGGAGCTCCAAGAATTCATCTTTCATGTCTTCAAAGTTTCTTCTCATTATGTTAATGTCATATCCAATCTGCATATCAAAGGATCATTGCAGTTATATTGAAAATTGAACCTCCGACTCCAAGTTAAAGAGTAAGACGAAGATGGGGATTATGGATATTTATCTCATACTTCCTGTAATACAGACATCCATTATGAGGTTGTGCATATATTTTACTATTTCTTCACCACCTTATTTGAATAGCTCCTTATTCTCAAGTCATTAGCATTCCTCCCATCGTGGATGCTGTGAATATTTGGCTGGAATGTTCACTCTTTCCCTACTAAATCAGTAAAGTCGCCTGTCACAATTTTTATATCAGCTCCTGGAACCTGGTCAAATAATGTTCTATGCTTAAATTTAATTAAGCATATTGGAAAATTTAGTTTTGGTATATTCTTGTCTGTTAATAGCAAGAATTACCTCTGTCACCATTTCCATTCGAAACCCGTAGGCTCCTGGTCTCTTCCTTGACATTTTCCAACTTTGACTATTACTGTACGGTATATGAGGGCAACTTTGGGGATCTTAAGATGAAACTAAAATGTTTGATCAATTGCTTTGTATGATTCATCTTGGGGATCTCAAGGAACACCTCTGTCTCCTGTTTTTATGAAGAGTTGAAGTGGCTTTATCCTTTCTACCACTGTAAATATTTCCTGGCATCCTTCTTTCAAGTCATCCAATTCCACCATTCCTCATATATCTCTGAGTTACTTTAATTCAAATCCTCTGTTCACTCCCACCATACCTGTTCCCAATCTTCAGATTTATATACACAAGGCCCACAGAACCGCTGTTTACGACAGGTCTTTTATTATTCGATCCTCATTCTTATAGAACCTCATCCCTTTCTACATTCATCGCTCCAATACCCTCTCCACCTTCAAATCCTATCTTTTCAATCACTTCCTATCCATCCAGTCACCATAAATTGTAGATAGACGTTTCTGTAAATATATATATATATAAATTAGCCTTCATTTTTAATTATTTTTATTTCATGTTTCTTTTATTTATTTTTCTTAATTGGTTAAAGCTAGAAGGTAACTTAATTTTTTTTTTTTTTTTACTGCGTCTATTTGTTTATTTTGTGATTCTCCAATGTTTGTGAGACTCCAATGTCCACATTTCTGTCTTTGTATATTATTCTAAATGGACTTGCCCCAGAATAAATAAAGTATATTATTATTATATTATCCCCACATATATTATTACAGTAAGGCTCGAAATCGGTTTTGTACCAAATATAAGCTCCTGTCATGCTCAAATACCATGAATGGGGTACCGTTGGATTCAGAATTTCACGGGGGGTTTGCAAATCGTATTCTCCACTTTTGTTTTTCTTTCTAAAATAAATAAAGTCTATACAAACATTTTGCTAGGCTTCAATACTGGAACAGTGGTAGGTCTGTAGATCGATACGGGATAAATTGGATCTTGAAGATTTTGATGCATACAGCAAGACCCGGATAGTTTCTCTGGAACTATCGGATCCTGCATTGTTAAGCCCAAAAACGTACTATTTTTGAGATAACTCAAGGCATAGGGTTCACATTCACAAAACCTTACATTAATTGTAGTACTGTCATTGAATACATGTCTAATTTCGTCAACTTGGGGTCTCTATGATCGAGAGAGGAGGAGTTTATATTATTTATCGATGATGTTTTTGATCAGCAAGCCATATCATCCTTCATTTTTCACCAAATCTCAAGATTGAGCCACCAATTTCGAAGGCTTTCTTCTCCTTCAGGCGGGCAAAAAGTCCAATCATCCTGAAAATTCAGGCAAACAAGTTATGAAAGAAAACAAACTTTATTTGCGAATAACTAAAAAATTACACACTTTTTCCTTGGTTATGCCAATGATTATATAAAAGATTACTAAATTCCCTACAAAACGAAAAAAAAAAAAATCATTAAAATCGGACAATATTTAGCAAACATACAGCTTACTGAAATTTGTACACATGGTGGTTCCAAACAGAAATGAAGATTTAAATTAATTTTTGTTTTGTTTGTCGATTATATTTATTGATAAAGGAATTAATTTCTTTATCTTTTGATATGTTGCATTATTTTCTTTTCTTATCAATATGCCTTTTGATAAAAATATGCTGTGCGAATTTTTCGCACGGGCCTACTAGTTGATTATTAATCCTTTGGCAGCTGGCAGATTTCTTAACATCCATTGCCATTGGATGTTTATAGTGAATGTGGGCTTCAATTATAGGTCTTCATTGGAATTCAAAACTTATTTGGCATTGTAGTCTCCTATGATTAGTCATATTTTTGAGATTGTTCAATGCATTTTCTGAATGACTTTACTTCATTTTTTTTTTAATATTTGGTTGATGGATACACAATGATAGATGTGATTTTAACAACTAATTTTAATACTGACTAATTCTGTTGTTTGAAGAGAAATTCATAACTAATTTCCTTGTGGCTGGCTATACTACTAATCTCATGTTATCTGCTATGGCTTTATTGTTTTTCCTACTATAGAACATTTTACTGCCATTCATAAATCCATTATATATCCATTTCGTAAATCCATTGTATATCTATTTTTATGATGGATTTTAAATCCATCATTGTGATTTATATTCTTTAGTTATTACTAGATACCGGATTCCCGTGTTATTGTACCGTTTATTCACTTGCATTGAAAAACTCCAGACGTGGATATCTATCTGTTTCAGGATCTGTAGAATAACATATTTAAATTTTTTATTGCAATAAAGTGCATGTTTTGCCGTTTTTGGCTTAAATTGAATGATTTTGATTTTTGTTGCCTTAAATTGCACATTTTTGTGAAAGATTAGATGATTTATAAATACCAATGTATATGTGTGTGTTAATATTTACCTTTTTTTTACTATATTGTTAAAATTAAATTCATTATTCAACATAGAAAAATATGAGGAAGGTAAATTATTCTGTGTCAAGCATTAATCAAATTTAACATTACAACAGGAAAAAGTAAACACAAGTGAGAAATATTCTTGGAATATAACTTGCCTAAAGTATTAAATAATAAAAAAACTGTAAACATTTATTGTCATTGTTTTAACTTGAATTCTCATTCATTTGTAAAGCCCTTCAGTGTCCCTTCTGGCTTTGAATTGATTTGTAGTAATTTCATTACTATATAAAAAAAATAATACTTTAAGTAAAATCTAATGAAAAATAAGTTCTGTAAAATCTGAATATAAAGATATCCTGAGTTGAAATTTAGTAAGAAAGTTCTGCACGCCTTAAGAAAAATCAATCAGGTGTGATAGGAATTCACGGATGCTCATTGTAGAATAGATAAGAAAAAAATATTTCTATAAAAGAATTTAATGTTTTTTAGAAATAACATAATTCCCAAAAATATTTTTTTTGATGATTTAGAAAAAACAGCTTCAACACTAATATTTGAATACTTGAAAATCTCAAACATTAGAATTTATTCCTAAAGTTTAAAAAAAAAAAAATTGGAATGCATAATATTGGAAATTTCAACTCGGTTAAAAAATAAAGTTTTCATTATTATTACTTTCACTTACTTCTATATGAAATATATAGCAAGGGAAAGTATTGTGATCGTGAAAATTTTCGAATCTGAGTTTTCAACGGTAACAATACATGTTTTGAGGAGGCCTCAGTCCAAATAACCAAGTCCTGTAAAATGGTTTTTGTGTATGCTTGTGACCAGTCTAGCTCAAAAATGAAAACTCGTATGAAAGTGAAATTGCATATTTAAGGTTTTTATATACCTGAGATGCTTTCATCAAAATTGGCTAACCGGAAGTGGCACTTTATGTAATGGATGTTACCCATTTTTATGACTTTCTCGAAAATGGCTCAAACAATTTCGATCAAACTCACTATGTCAGTGTATTATTAAGCATTTTTTTAATATAATGTAGGTTTTATTCTCATTGATCTTCTCTAACAGGGGTTAAATAGTTAATTTTCAATATTAGTATCCTCTAAAGCACCTTTAGTTTTTTTATTTGAAATAATTAACCATTTCACATTAATCTTTGATATAAAAAATAGTTAAATATAAAATAATTTGATAATTAACTGAAGGAGAAATAAGAGATCGCAATGGATAATAGTTGTAATGGAGAAACCAAAGGAACACGAGGGGGCCCGAGCTTGCCTGACAGATTAGGACATGCTTCCATACGTAACATGAGCTTAATATAATATGGACTCTGGAAATATAATTCACATATACATATGCCAACATATATATGTTGGTACATATATATTAATTGGTATCATATATGTATATAATTGATATCATATATGTATATAATTGGTATCATATATGTTATCATTGGTATCATATATGTTATCATTGGTATAATATATGTTATCATTGGTATTTTTTAAATGATAGAAAAAGGTATTAAGTCAATGTTGGATTTATGCTAATATAATTAAAAATTTTATTATAATTTTTTTTTCATCTCTTGTTTAACTGAAGATACGGCAATATTTTGATGTATTAATATTATAAATTAGACAATTTTGATGATTTTTCACTATTTTAGGCGTTAATTACAAAATTGTATGTATTTTGAGTTTTTACTGCACGATTTTGCACACTTTGAGTTTTTTGCTGGTTATTTTTTGTATTTTGACTGCACGAAATTCTGGTCTCTAGTTGTTACACTTATAACTAGTTAACTTTCATACTTACTATAGTTAACAATGCTCTAAACACATTAGCCTATGTTGGAAATACAGGTCATTATTTTTTGACAATTGTAAAATTTATTTGAAAAAGAAGGGATTGGGGTAGCTCAGTGGGTAAGCACAAACTTCCAAAGCTCAAGGTGTCTTGGGTTTGAATCTGACTGATGATTATTAATTTTTCATCAGCTATGAATCAGCAGGGGTTCAGGAGACCCTCCTGGGACACTGGGAGATAGTATGATGAAAAAGAAATTATAATTGTTTTACAAAGTGAAATATTTCATTCTAAAGCCACTGCTTTATCTATTCTACTATAAAATATATTCCATAGATTATCTGAATAATTCAATTGAATTAAAAATTATTTAGTAATGGTTTAGTTAAAAAAAATTATATATGCTTTATTTATTTATTTATTTTTTGCTTAACCTGTTAAATGTTATGTTTAATGTGCAAAAGATTCAAGTATACTCAAAAATGTTATTTTTGATTATATAAAGCTTTAATAAAGTTTTTAATTTTTATCAAAACTTTTTCTATAGATATTGTTTATTATAAATTTATTTATATAACATTTATTACATTAATTATAGGGAACAGAAACCATACTCTAAAAATGCCAGTTATAATGAAATTCTGATATATTTTTTATCCACAGGATTTATGGTCCATAACTGGTTGCAAGTTTTTTGTTTCTTTCGCAGTTGTTTACATGTGAGTGATTTCTAAATTTGAAGATAAATAAACTCTATAATATTATAAATTTGTACAATTATTTTATTAATAATAATGAAATCTTAGAATACAACTTGAGACAGATTTTATTATTACACAAATAAATGAGTTAAGAACCAATTGTTCTGTCATTTATAACTGAAAATCTCCACACCAGTTTTGCTTCTTACTGTAGTATTATAATAATTCAATTCAGTTGAAGTAGCTGTGGAATTGATTGGTGGAGTATATCTTTGGGTTGTTGTAATTGTTGATTCTGTCTCTTCATCTTTTATGACCAGCCTGTCAACAGTATTTTGGTACTTTTGGGTTGCGGGACAGTAGCTACTCATTTCTTTCCATAAGGTATCATTCATATTTTTAGCTATATTTATCCACTCCCTACTCCTGACAAACATGCACCTCTCTTCAGGCATGTTGCACATTTCCATACCGTCTATTCTTATCACGCCTCGGCAGCCAGTTTGTATAAAATGTTCTGAGCCACAGAACTTCATTATCGAACTGTCTATTAGATTATCCATTGATAAATTACGATTCTGTCTCAGTGTTTCTCCTATGAGGTCATACAAATATGCTGCACATTGCTGCGGGCAATAGATCAATTCTGGATCTATTTGACAATTTATATTTTCATTATCATATAACCTATTATTTAACATTAACAGGTCTTCTGAAAGAACGGTTCCTCCAAACTGCCATACCGTTAGTAAAGCCACTTCAAATAATGACCTATCATCTGCTTTCCATTTTCCTTCAAATGGAGATCCCCTCGTGATTGTTTTACCTTCTATGTTGATTATATTAAAATTGTCATATTTCAAACTTAGTGCATGTTCATACGATTGCTGTATATGTTTTAGAAACATAAGAAATATATTTTTGCTTGGAGATAAGCGTAATACAGACTCAATAGAACAAGCTGAATATTTATCTAATGGTTTTAGCACCATGTAAAATATGTTATTTCCAGAATCGAAAACTTCTAGATCTTTTTCAGGAATACTTTGTCTCTTCTCATGTGCTTTATCTATCATTTGATTGCAGAATTCGCTTTTAATATCCTTTCCCTGGTTTTCTTCTTGTGGTATATAAAGATTTTGCTCAACTATTCTGAAAATTAGCATGTATGAAATGTAGTAATTACTTTTATTGGAAATGATTTCTAAAGAAAGAATTAATTAAATTTGATTAGTTAAATGATGAACGACTAGATTAAAAAGAATATTAAACTTTGAAGTATCATTTATAATTATAGATAATATGGTAACATGAATAATTCTAACAGAATACTTTAAATGTAAGTACATAGCCAGCACAACCACTAATCATTGCAATTAATACTTGCTTGGCTCTCTTTGGCATGCAATCTATGAGGTCGTGCTACACTGTGCCTATTGTTTACATGGGAGACCTATATGACAGTAATCTAATGAGACTCTCTCTTACATTATGAGTAAAAGGAACTCATTTCCAGGCCTCTAAACTCAAATTTATGTGCTATGAGAGAATTCAAGTATACTTTGATAGTACGTTTCTGGTCTGTAGAGAACCAAATTAAGAGTGTCTACAAGGATTAGACATAGCTGAAAAGATATATTAGAGGTTATTCATATTTCAATTGAAAACTTAAATTCTGTTTATTATAACTTTTTAATACTATATATATATATATATATATATATATATATATATATATATATATATATATATATATATATATATATATATATATATATATATATATATATATAGTAATTTTTACATAAAATAAAGTGGAGCATTAATTTTTTTCAATCACTGTATTTCAGTTTTCAAATTGATTTTTTTTTTAATCAATATTTTCTTCTATCGATTAATACCCTAAAATAAATTTAGCTTTGTGCCAGGAAAATTATAAATATTTTATTTACTTTTAAATAGTAAATGGAAAAACTGTCGTCAGACATATGGGTGAAATATTGTAAAAGCGAGCAGACTAGAGGTTGATAAAAAACAGTAATGGTTGAGGCCAGAACAGATGAAAAGTTTGATAAATACAATAATAAATATAAAAATAGGCTTGGAAAGGAAGGATGTTTCCTCTTATATGAAACAATTAATTTGTGATAGGGAACAATTGGCAATGGAAAAAAAAACATTGAATAAACAAGAAGCAACAAATGCTAGTTATAGAATAGAAACACCAGCAACTGGGCAAGTCCTTCCATCCCTTGGTTCCCTGTTCACTCTCTGATATTTCTAATCGTGATCAAAGTGTCTAATTTGTTTGTGTTTTAATTACTGATTCGCAAACAAATTCTAACATCACCAATGGTTTATCCCTCTATCAATATTGTTGATCAGTTTTACATCCATTCATATACAGGGATATTAAATTGTACTATTTGTAATGTTCATTTGGGAGAGCCTATTTTACCCTCTCTATTTCTTGAAAATATCTACTGTCAGCTTTATAGCTATTTGAAAAGAGAGTTTTTAAAAATTAAACCTTTCTTTTTGTGTTTTGATCCTTTTTCAGTCTAATATTATGTTTTAATATGTCATCATTTTATTAATTTTTGACTTCTTGAGCAATCTATAGACAGAAAAATGTAACTAACTTATTATTTAACATTTTCTATTCAGTTTTAACTGTTATGGTGTATTTTTAATAGATTAACCTAAAGTCAAATATAAGATTAATATGATAGCAAACGTCCAGAATCATGAATTTTTAACATGATTTACACTGGTGTGCAAACAAACCATTATGTTCAATATATGATGAATTATATGAATTATAGCTAATATATGTTTATTTACATAAATGATTAAAACTATCCTTGAAAGAACGGTACTTGAGCTTTTAAAAATGTTTGAATTAAAATATATCCAATAATCTAAACAATAATTACTATTGAAGCTGTAAATTATAAAAACCTAAAATTTCAAATGGATTTATAAACTACCACAGAAGAGATACCATTGAGTATTTTTTATCCTCATGCCTGATATGCCATTATTATTTTATTTATGTTGTTGATAGACAATTTCCTCATTGTCAATGATGTATAAGACAGGTGTGGATGTATAAATAAAGTTAAAAAATTTTTTTTATAAACTTGAGATTATTACACTAATGTATCACAAAAATGAAGGAGTTGATCTGGAGATATGGTGCAAAAAATAACATCAGATAGTGGTTACTATTTATTAAGAATTTAAAATATATCTAATAGGTGTTTAATAGTTTCTTACCACTATTTACTTTTTTTACTGATCCACAAAAACATTTTCTTTTTATTTCGTTCAACCATCAGTACGTAATATTTATACAAAAATTATAATTTTTTTATTGTAAATAAGTTTGATTGCATTAAAGATGTATATTATGTACTTTGCCATTCTTTAAAATAATATAAAAGCAAGGACATCAACCTGGGCCAGGAGTCTAATGAGTAAAGAGAGATCAGATGGATTGTTGTCAGTATTGTCTCTAGTTCATTCAATGTTCTTTGGGTCTCCCCGCATCATCCACAAGTGCTTGATGAGAGATTTTGCCATGCTAGTAATTTCCAGTGACTACTATGTAAGTGGTGCAGACAATACTTTCTTTTTCATCTGTTTAATGATCAGTGCTCAGATGAATAACAAGTACTCTGCATTTAAAAAAAAATGAAGAGAGTAGCTTTAAATAATTTAATATTAGAAATAATTAATAACATGATATCAGGCAACAGTCAGTACAAATTTCAAGGGATACCAAGCCACATAGGATTATCTGAAAAGGATAACACTTATATATTGTATATGAAGTGGTGTGGTTGGTAGATTCCATCTGTGCATCTACTGATCCGTGATCATCTCGTCATGGTTCAAAGCTGTGCCAGGATCATCATGGTCTATGTAGGGCCAAGGCTTCAGCCCCCAAGCCGGAAGAAAATATAAGACCCATCCTCAAGGCCGGCCATCTGGTTAAGCCCTCTCCTCCAGGCTGGAGATCAACATAAGACCAATTTTCTTCCTTCTCAGTAGATTTTATAGAAATATTCAGGGTGGGGTAAGAATGGTTCTCATTGGTTGAATTTTAGTAGCATAAGGAATGACCACACCTCAAGGCCGTACGGCTGTTTCCTCTTTCTCGAAGGTGTTTCTGTTCCCTCCCTTGCTTAGACAAGCCTTCCAATCCTCTTCAAACATGACTGGTGTCGGTCCTTTGGTGTTTTATTGGCCCTCAGAAAAGGTTGCACTCCCTAGTGGGTCACCACTCTCCCTCAGGTAACCGGACATGTGTTAGCAATCATTACTTAGAATGTATTTATACATTGGAAATAACCACGTTCCTAAAAACCATTAGAATGGATAGATGCAAAGTGCTCATTGGCACAACAATAGTTTTCATCTAAAGATTTTGTTCAGTGATGAGAAAATTTTTATAATTGAAGAAAAATTTAATTGCCAAAATGATCGTATATATCTACAGCTCTAACGAAGTCCAGGAAGTTATTGGAAGAGTGGAAAGAGCCCCACCTTTCCTCAGTGATGGTTTGGTGGGGAATTTGCTTTGATGGCACCACAAAGCTCCATTTTTTTGAAAAAGGATGTGTTCGGGCTGAAGCCCTCTCAAAATGGTAAAATATAACCATGTCTAATAAAAAAAAATATCTATAAAAGTGTTAGTGTTCATGCAGTTACATTTAATAGGATTTCAAGAATCGCTACAACACCATTTCATATTCGTAATCAGTTTCTTTCTTTTTCTTCTAAAATAATTATATATTATATATATAAAAAAAAAGGTTTCCGGGCTGATGCCCCCCAAAATTAAATCCTGGATCTACTTGTGGCCTTGTCTATGTCTAAAAATAATCCAACTGTTATATAATAAAATATTTATCTCAGAGTGCAGGACCAATAATCTATCCATGCTAGACTTCCCTTTCCCAAAACCATATTGAGATTCAGATAATTTATTTAGTGATCCTAACAACCATTCCAGTCCTATTTAATCATTCTTTCAAATGTTTTAAGTATGCAGCAACTTAATGAAACAGGTCTGAAGGAAGAAGCCAATTTTGGCTCTTTACCTGGTTTTAAAATAGATATCACACAATATTCCCTCCACAATTCTGGTAATAAATAAGTTTGCCATATATTATTGAGCATATTTAATAATATGATTTTTAATTGGGTCAGTAATTTATTTGGCATTATATAATGACTATTGTCTTTACTAGAGGAGCTGTTAGCATTAGTTTTCATTGAACATACAAAATTCCAGCAAGATTAAATTTCCTATTGTGACCTTCTTCATTATCTTTATCCTTATCACTTGCATGTGTAATTTGTAATGAAATTGTGGAATTCTGTTAAGTCTATGTCCCAATCCCCAATAAATCCCTTTTTTTTTAAACGTAAAACTTGGAATATTATCTTGCTCCATTTTCAAATTTCCTGACATTACTAACATGTGAGCTTTTTCTCTTTAGTGAGTTTCCACTTTAATTCTATTTCTACCTATTTTACATGTATTTAAAATATTATAATATATTTCTGGGCACGGTTTATGTAGAAGTTTCTCAATAGACATTGGATGTAATCAACCTATTCTTATTCCTATTCCTATTTTTTGTAAGGTTAGATTTATTTGAGACATTCAGGATTACTATTATCTTCTGTTACTATTTTAGTGAAGTTATGTTCATTATATACATTAACTAATTGTTTTAAAGTTTTGGAGAAACTTCCTCTCCCCATCATTACTGACATTTAAAAAAAAAAAAAATACCTTCATTACATAATAAAAGAATAAAATAAAAAAAAAAAAAAAAAAAAACCTCAAAATACTTATTCCTGTTACATATTTAATAAAAACAAATTAAATTCAAAGAATTAGAAAATTAATATTAAACTTAAATAAAACTCTTATCTATAGAACCTATTGGAATAGCAATAAATAAACAGTAATTAATCAATAAGCAAACTTAGGTCTTTACAGCATAGCAACTGTGTGTCTAGCTGTAGTGAGACTATCTATAGTCAGTTAGTTATTTATTAACCACCTATATCTCCTCTTCTTGCTAAACACACACTTTTTTTGTATTCAAAATTCTAGAGGGACTCTCTAACTATTTAGTTATATGTGCATTTTAAAGGCAGGTAAGGATGATCTAAGTGGGCACCATGCTTATCAGAGCATGAATTATGCCAATGCTACCTCATACCTAACAGAATGAATTAATTTTTCATTAGTGAGTACTTTAAAATATATATGTATTCATCACATGTTACTTACTTTCCTTGGTTGAGTAGGGACATGAAGGTCACCAACATTATAAGAGTTATTAGTGAAACAATAAAAACTATCAGCCATATTGCAGAGGCTATATAAGATGGCCATTTTGCAAATACTGTAGCTGCTCCATGGGCTATACCAGTTGTTCTAGGGTTTTGATCATAACCCTCTTGTTCAATCAGTATTAAACGTAGCCTCTCATCTTTACTCATCTGCAATTTATTTAATAAAAAATACTGGTTATTTTATCTAGTGCATTATTACATTTCAAAAGGTATCTTATTGTGATTTAAGATTTAAGAATCTAGTTAAATCATTAATCTCTGCAGTGAATTTAATAACTCATAGGTTATACCTTATCTCTTAATAATGTTATATCTTGTCTATTGCAATGTTTAAAATCAGAGTTCTCAACCCTGGTATGCCTTTTTTTTTACAATGATGCTAAGCAAGGTCCTTATATCAGATGGATTGCTGGACCCATGGTATCTGAGTCCGGGGTTCAAGGACTAAAATTTCATTGTTGTTAAAAGTATCTACCACTATGATGTATTTATTCACACATTTATTTGTATTAGATATGCATCTCATATGGGAAGATGCTTGGGCTAGTACAAGAGCCTGGTAAAGGAATGCATAATATTGATTAAAAAAAAAAATTAATATAGAAAAAATTATACAGATAGCTTGTTATAGCTATTAAAATTGAAATTACATACATATAGATAATAAAGCTGGTGGAGAGATTGAAGGAATGGTTGAAAAAGATGTAGAAATCTTAAGGCAGGGCCTCGCTTTAAGATATAGATGATTAATTAGGATTGATATAGTGGAGAAAAAAATGTTCCTTAGACCGGATGGAAAGGATTATTGTTTAAAGACATTCTGAAGGCTTTAGAAATTTTGAAAGTAAACAAATAAGATAATGATCTGAGGATGAATTAGGACTTTATTGAAGAGAAGGATGTGAAGTTGTTTCTAGGAAATCTAAAATACTTGAGTTCTGAAGTTATAAGTTAGTCATATCCTTGTCATTCCTAGAATACTTCGAACATATATGCAAGAAACAGAGAACAGTGACAATTCTGGCAAAACGCTCCCCTATGAAAGAAAGAAAGAAAAGCAAGTTTTATTCTGGGAAATTTTGTCTCCTCAGAATAACTACAATGAACAACAAAATGACAAATGAGAATAAATCTGACATATGAATACAATTCAAAATAAATTAATTTACAAAGTTATGTAACTCTAATATTAAAATAAAGAAAAAGCACTAGTTGACATACGGAATTGAAGATAAATACATACGAGTGAGTTCACGTATTTATACAAATAAACAGTATGGATAATACATAGATATCTGCAAGATGTCAGTAAAATGTGGCCGATCAGGCTCAATAGGGTGACACAAAAGAAGCATAACCTTGCTAGGATTGATTGAGATTTGAAATCTCTAGAGTTAGAATTCCATCTGACTAAAAATTTGGATTGGGATTTCATTTTAACTGTGAGGACTGATAAAGAAAGATACAATATGATCTGGATTTAATTCTACATTCCTTGACTTGTGAATTGAGTGATAAGATTTACTTTATATAACATGTAAAAAAAAAACCTGTACCACTACAACCCATAGAGGGTCTGGGGGTTCAGTACTATTTAGGGAAAGTACTGTTTCTAGGTCCACGGTTGTGCAAGGAGGTAATTTGACCGGGGTTCGAACTCGGGACCTTTGCATTGGATGCTCAGTGCCCTACCACTGAGCTACCCCGCTCCCCTTATATAACATATAATATGTATTAAATCCAACTGGAATGATGGATGTGAAGATGAAAAGAAAAGAGGTAATTTTGGGCAATAGTTTTATTTGAAAATGGAATCTTAGAACTGAAGAAGAGTTTATGGTAAGATGTGATTTGTGCATGCAGTGCCATAAGGTACGACTTATCGAGCAAATTCGTTGAACTTGATGAAAACATTACTGCCCCCAAGTTGTGGCGCACCAGCCACTTCTGAATATATCATAGTAGCCTGTACCATTTTTCAGAAAATGAGGGATAAACTACTGAGGTAGATAGTTCTACATTGTAACAGATCAAGATTTTTCAGCTAATGACCAAAAATAAATACGTCATAGGTACTACCCACTCCTCTCTAGGAAGGAGAGAAGGAGTTGCATCAAGGAGGCTGCTGGATAGAGGAGAGTTGAAGGAAATGGTCGCTGAACTTTAATAAAACAAGTTAATACACAAAAAATAAAATTGATTTGGTAAGAATGAAGAAAGGCCTTGGTTCAATTTTGACCTGGGCAGGTTGAAATGAAGGTTGAAGATGGTCCCACAGAATGAATCTCGATGTTTCCACTCTTGGCAGAATGGTTGTTTTCATGTGGGGGGATGGTAAACAGAAAAATGTGAATTATTATAATGCAATGGATGGCTAAGCAGGCATGTGTATCATCTCATTGGGACAAATACCCTTATGGTCTAAAATGCAGGACAGGGTCATAAATAAATAAAAATTGTTTATGATAGATGGTTTGCTGGAATTGATTGTGACAAACTTTATTTGCCATTATGTTAGACTTTATTTTCTTGGAACATTATGTTATATAGTTGGACGATTATTAGTTCTTTGATTCTATATCAGTCATGATGCCTTCAGAAGGGAGGAGGGAGGCTACATATTGTTTTTTAAAGAGTGTGCATTTATGGATTGTATAAAAGATTTGAAAGTCCTCAACAATTGCTCTATGGGATAAATGGGTTTACAGTTGTTTTTAAAGACTGGGAGGAAGCCAATATGGAGATAGTTTACAGTTTTAAGGATAAAAAGAAGAATGAAAGTATTGTGAGTGATTGATGTTGACCTTTGAGCAGATGAAAAAAGCAAGAAGATAATAGCATTAAGGGGAATCAATTACTTCGAGCTCTAGGTAGGTACATTAGATTGACCGGAGTTTCTAGATTATCCTGGTTTAATAAAAACAATTTTAGTAATTGTCGAGGAATGTGATGTATTTTTATTCAAAATTATATTTGATGCCTTACCGTCTTATTGGCTGGTAGTATAATCTTGTTGTTCTGAACCCAATAATCTTTGTGATGAGTAGGTACATTAGGTGCCAATGAGAATGTTTATGATTACTGAAGCATTTAAGATCCTTGGTTGATTGGTTATAAAACAATATATTCATAGGATAACTGAAATGTTTAGGAAACTTAAAGATTTTTTAATATTCTACAATATTATTAACACATTTCAATTATACATGATACTTCATTTGAAAAAGGTCAGGGATTTATTAAATGATATATTTGTTAACATGCTTAAATTTACCTATTCTGCCTTTTTAGTTTTATCCTAAACTGTTATATCGCCTATATATTATGTATATATATATTCCTCAATTTATTCATGTTATTATACTGCTACTGCAGTACAATGACATTTTAGTGTTAAGTGAATTGAAAATACTTATGTTTTGATTATTAATAGAAATATGGGAGAAATTATTATTAATCATTATTTTTTTCAAATTATTTGTTAATAGAGTTACAGAAAATAATTTTATTTGCATTTCTTACAGAAACCAATAAAAGAACTCTAGAATGGACTTTAGCACTTGAAAATATTATCTGACCAACTGAAATTTTAAATTAACCATATGTTTTTTACAACACCCACATACACCTGTAAAACAAAAAAAAAGTAGAATAAATTTATGAATAATTATTCTATAAAAAAAAAAAAAATAAATAAAAAGAAAGAAAGCCTGAAATCAGATAATGAATTATGTACTCCAAATTGTTACTCTTAATCTTCTGGAATGAAAATTATTTGCGTACATTCAATATCAATCTTGAGATACAAAAATATGTGGGATATTAAAAGTGAAGTTTCATTACAGCCATACAAAAAGAGGCGAGATCCGCCTTAAATATGGTAAATATTACATTGATAGGCTGGATGCCTGGAGTCACATAGAAATAAAAAAAAGCTGTTTTAGCTAGTATCAAGTATCAAGTACTCTTCACTTTTGCTTGTTTTCCTGCTTTAAGTAACCGCAGGAGTATTGGTGTCCATCTATCTCTGGTATGTTCCAACTTCTATTTGAGCGTTTTTTAACAGGTTCCTTCTTATTTTTTCATATGGCCAACAAATTTCGATCTGTTAATTTTCATCTATTTTATAACTTCTCCAAATTTCTATTTCACAAAATAGTTCACAGTGGCACTTAAAAGAGTAAATGACTCATACTACTACAGATATTAAGGAGTTCAAAACTGTCTCATATAAACTGGTCATATTAATTGAAGTTGAAGCAAGCAATATTAAGGTATCTCAATCAGCTGGCAGAATCACTGCATAATTAAATGCATGAAATAATTTGTCATTTTAATTAATCGATAGTGTTTGCCTATGGTTATTTTACATCACCGATAAATTAAAAATAGGATGCTGTACTGATAAATGATTCTCGAAGAAGACAAATGTATGTTTCAAGAAATAAAGAAGAGTCCCGATTAGTCTGGGATGATGGCTCATGCAATTATTTAAATATGATTGTATGTAAGGTATATTTAGCAATATAAAAATACCATCTAATGATGATAATAAACAGAATATAGAAGGCCAATGGAGTGTCATGCTATTGTTTTGTCAACTGTTATAAACAAGTGAGAATTCAGCAGAAAGGCGAAAGTAAAGCATCCAGCGGTGTGATCACATTACAACACTAAACTAAGAAAAAACGATTTTGATAGTTGTTGAACATTTGTTCTCTCTACATTCTACAAAACTTCATTGCTTTGTTTAATAGTCTTGAAATAGATCTATATCAGATATAAATTCACTCCTAACTCATTTTTCCAAAAACTGCATCAACTGGTTTTATCTCTGAACCCTCCATGTATGGGTGCTGCATTTTCAAATCAGTATATCTCTCAGTCATATAAAATTGTTTACAAAGCTGGACTACTTTGAATCAATGTTTATAGAACATATGAACTACCAAAATCCTCTGTATGATAACTGGAGTTATCTGGGATCAGAGTACTAACACATGGAGGAAAAAGACCAATAAAGAGCTGCTTACAGAAACTGGTCAATCAATATCTCATGATATGAATGCTTAGTATGCTCTATTGGTGCAGTGCCAGGCATAAAGCTAGTTGTTGAAGACCTAAATTTTGTAGAAAGGAAAAGATCTAGATGGACTTTCGACCACTGACTTGTTTCCCACACTTTTACTCATATAAAATTTCTTTCTTCAAAATTCCATATAAGCCTGGAACAGAGCTATTGTCTGCCTGATGAGCAAGGTTCCTTCTCCTCCCTCAGTTTCTGACTTCACACCCATCTCCATTTTATCCTATTTATCCGAGATTATTTCACTCTCAGTTTAACAAATTTCTTAAGCTAAACCATCTTCTTAATCCTTTCTCATCCCATTATTTCATCCAATCTGCCTTGCAAAAGATTACCCAAGACTTGCTATCCTCCACACATAAACAGAAAGTCTTTATTGTAATCAAACTCAAAAGCATGCCTATATCAAGTAGCGTTCTGAAATGGTTTCACTCCTTCTTATCTCACTGCTCCCAGATAATTCTCATTCCCACCTATCTCCATTATCACCCTTCCAATTAACACAAAGGGCTCCTCACTCTCTCCGACACTTTTCTATATTTGTATTAATGATCTTCCTGACTCCATTCATCACTCCTGTTACCATTTATATGTTGATGATTTTCAAATTCACCAATTGTTCCAATTTTCTGAGTTGACTGAGGCTACTCGAAAGCTACAAGAGGATATCGACTGCATCAACAGATGGGCAGAAATAAATGAGCTGAGGGTGAATGCAGAAAAAACTAAGACTATTCTCATTGGTTCCAGATATCTCATTAGTTCCCTTCATTACTCTCTTCTACTTAACCTCAATAACCACCCTATCTATTTTCTCTTTACAGTCAAAAATCTAGGAGTAACCTATTATCATAACATCTCCTGGAATAACCGTATCTCCCAAATTATCCAAAAATCTATAATTGTCCTTAAACAACTCCTAATATTCCGTGATTTTATTCTTCAAAAAATCAGACAGCTCCTTGTAACCACCCTCATTTCCCTCCACTTCCACTACAGTTGCTTGGTGTATTGAGGGCTGCTTGCAAGACTGGAGATGAGATAGAAGAAACTCATGAATTGTTTCATAAGATTAATCTTTGGGATTCCTAGGCGCTCCCATGTTTCCTGCTGGTACACCAAGTTGAAGTGGCTCTATCTGACAAGCAATTTTTTCGTGATGTTTTCCTTTTTCAAGTTCTAGGAACCAAAAATCCTCCCTGCATCCTAGAACTCTTTACTCTACATTCATCTATCCATTCTCTTAATACCAGATCTCAACCTATTGATTTATATATTCTCTCCCATAAAACTACAAACTCTTTACCAATCTCTGTATGTCAATGAAGTAGAATAGAAGAAATAGAGAAATGCCTACAAAATAAATTGCTTGAGGAATAGACAAGTGCTACTTAAGGTAAACAATGGACTGTATTACTTTAGGAAGAAGGGAGTATCCCAACAAATAAATGACGAAGAGACATAGCTACAGAATTTAGAATAATTACCGGCTTGGATTATTTTAAAAAAAAATTATATAATGTAGGTGAGGTGAAATCCCTAAACTGTAATCTATGCATTATTGGGTTTGCCATGGATGCAGCACAAAGGTGCGCAACTTGTCCTAAAATCATGTCCTAGTTTCTCGTAAGTACGAACATCAAATTCAGATGTTCATTGGGCTGCTAGAAGACTCATGGCATTTGCTGAAAATCAAGAGCCATAAGATCAAAAAATATATATTTTCTCAAAGTTCCTGGATGCACATTTTTACTGACTCTTCAACACAAGGCACAATTTGGAATGCTGGAGGTAGAGTCTATGCAGACCTGTTTCAAATAAGTGGAGAAAGCATGGTTCAGATTTTGATGAAGTGCAAGCAAGCTATTTTCCTGGCTTTAGGAGCATTAAGGACCATGAAGGCTTGAAATGTTGTTATACTTGTGGATTCCTAAACAGCAATACATGCTGTAAAAACGAGTGAAAAAGATCATTAATTTTTAGCTATACTTGCTTGCCATTGACTTCTCCAAGAGCTTCATCAAAAAGTTATGAGTATCATTATACAATGGATATCGAGTACTGGTATTGCAGGAAATGATGCAGCTGATGCCAGAAATAGTGAGTCTGGGAGTCAATTAAAAAAAAAAAACTTTCACTGGGCTGCTCAATATCTTATTTCTAGTAAGCTTCCATGACTTTGAATTAAAAAAATACCCAAACAAATGGTTGTTACAGTGGTTTAGCCATTGGTTGGCGAGTAATTGAAAAGTACGGTGGCTAAAAGCAAATTAGAAATTGAATATTGATAGAAGAACTCTTAAAATGACTGAAAAGTGTGAATCATAAAATTTTAAAGAGAAGAAGCACAACGCTAGTTTGAAGAGATCATTTGTGGCTAGTGGAATAAGTTGTATGTGGCAGCACCACCAGGACCTAAGAGGGAAACCAAGGACCACTAGAATAAATTTCGTGGGCCCCATCAAATATAAAATTTAGCACTAAAACCCAACCAAAGTCTTCTATAAAGTATGAAACAAAAATATAATGTAAAGATATTACATAAGAATTATATAATATGTGTAATGTTATCTACATTTTCCTTTAAGTTAACTTTAGGAGTTAAAAACAAAACTTTGTCGGCTAGGCCTTCCTTCAGAGGCCGGACACCAGGGCTGTGAACCTGGCTGTCCCCTCTCTTGTCAGGCCTGAGCACCACCTCCACATTTTATGAAAACTGAGATCAGGGAAAGAGAATGAAGCTATAATAATATAAAGAAGATGGCTAAAATACGATAAGGCTGGTTTATTTATACTAGTATTGAATAAAAGAAAAGCACCTCAAGAATAAAATGATTAGCCAAAAAATATAATAATTTGGTTGTAGTGTTATTTTAATTTATGTCACAAAGTGTTTTATTATTATTGGACAAAAGTTTGACATGCTCACAGTCCAGGCTGCAGTTTTTTTCTTGAGTTCTTCTGTTATTAAAAATGGACAAATTGAACTGAAGTGATCACAGGTAGATTTATTATCGTAGTCTAGCAATTTAATCAAAGATGATCCATTCATTTTATTGTGTTTAATAATTTCTTTTTTTAACACATCTGTGTAATGGTTTTTTTTTGTAGATTTGAGTTTCTTTAATATCTTGAAAAGGAAAGTGTGGCAATTTTTGTTGCTTACCATAACATATGGAGAGAGGTATAGACCATCATAATTCAAAATGTCTGGAGTATTTAAAAGGACATCAAACGACATGACAGCACCACCATACAGCCATAGAGTAAGCACTTTTGCTTTAAAAAATGCTATGCTATCATCGCATTTCCAAGATCCTTCAACAGGAGTGTTTTTAAACAAATCATTTCCTTTAATGCTGGTTATTTGAAAATTATCATAATTATCAAGTAATAGCTTTATAAAATCTGTTCCTTGAATTAACTCTTTTGGCCTGTTGCAGAGCAATTCAATCAAATGAGTGTGGTTAGTTGGGTATTTATGGAGTACCGACTCAAGAGCGCAAGCTTCTTGATCTGTGATGATTCTGTCATCTTTTATGAAATAAACACTTCCACCCCAAAATATTGATTTATTTACATTTTTTGAATTTCTTTTTAATGCAAGTGTTCTTTGGCACTCATCATTATCTTCTTTCTTTCGGCTGGATACAACCCTGCTAAATATTCCTTTTTCATCCAAATCTTCATGATATGTTTTTTTGCAGTGTTTTATAATGATGTTTTCTGATGATTGATTCAGGTAATAGTAATATTTTTTTGAATCAATAAGAAATAGAACTACAATACATGTTGATAAAAGAACGATGAAAATTATAACTTCAATAGGACAATCTTGGCTTTTCTTTGTATTATTATTTCTGCCTAACAGAAAAAATTTTTCAGCCCGTGTGCAATTGATGTTTTTCATTTACATTTTATTATTTTTTAAACAATTTTATGTTAAAAGATTAAACAATATTTGCTTAAATAAAAAATACTAATGCTAATTAAATTTTTAAAACATAATTTTATTTCAAGCTGATTTTTAATTTATTTATTCAATCAATTAAACTTCATTGAGTTAGGCATGATTTATTTATTTTATTTTTTACTTTTCCCATGTGTTTATTGTATATATAATATTTCATGAAAAATTATTTGATTCATTTAAATAGTATAGTGTATATTAGAATGATGGACCAAATAATCGTTATAATCTAATGGTTAACTTGAATCAACTTACTTTTGTTGTTGTTACATTTCAGTTTTATTTGTTGGTATATTAAACCTTTTAGAATTTCAATTTCTTTTTATTGTTTTCCACAAAGAAGATAATATCACCAACTATTATATATTAATACTATAATATACAGAATCAATTAAATAAAATTGATAAAAACACATGTTAATATTAAAAGTTTTAACTAATAATTTATTTACAAATTCATTTATTCATAAAATCTAATGAATTTATCATTTATGGTGTACTTACTGTTCAATAATATCAATCTGCTTATTTAAACAAGTGTGTTCATGTTCAGCTATGAGCAATTTATAACAATTATCTTTAATGCTGTTCTATCATTACTTCTGTGAACCAAGTTACCTAAAGCTAGGCACCTAAACTGCTGATATTATAGTTATATTTTTGTTTTTTTCTTGATTTTGCTTACCCAACAGTTTTCGTTCAACATGACCAAGTTTTCCAACATGACTCATCTAAATATTTTGTTAGAATTTCATTCAATTTAATTTTGTTATTTCTTTTGACTAAAGAAAAAATGTTATATTTTACAGTAATTGACGTTATAAAAATAATTTCTTTTAATTATTTCTCCGTATTTTGAAATTTGATTACATATCCATATTATAATATACCCATGTATTAATTGATCATCCAAAAAAAAAAAAAAAAAAAAATAGACACAAGTCAAAAGACTTTAAAATACGATCATTAGTTTTCGATAATGATAATCTGGTACAAATTTTAATCAGATCACATAGTATTCACCTGCAATAAGGTAGAGAATTTAGTTCTAAAGAAGTATTTTTGAAAGCGAATAATTTGATGGTGTATTTGATGTATAATTTATGACTTCAATAATAAAACAGTTTTTATGACTGTGTTAGTATGTGTTAGTTTGTACACAATAACGCATCTCTTTTTAAAAATGCTATAAAACTTATCAAAATTTAGGTAATCACAGTGGCAAATGAAGTTAATTTGCTGATGATCAAGATTTAACCTTTTCGTTATCAATATATTTTTTAAATAACGATATCTTATTAAAAAAGATCATTTTCGGGTTGTTTATTAAGTCCAAACAATGGTGGTTGAAGTTTAACAACTGGTTAGCAATGCGAACTTTGCTAATTAGTTCTCAACAATTATTCGGTATTATTAAGGTTTAACATTATAAAATTTAAAAAAATAATATAAACCTCATAACCTCGCGAAATAGCCCCATAGCCGTCGAATACCGTACATTCTCTTCCCGTTCTCCTGCCGTTCCCTAGCTTGTCATGCATTCTTTCCAAAGATCGGGACTTTTTCAAAATGACTCAGGGCACATTATAAATTTTTGAAATTTGGAACTGTCCTGCTAAAAGCGAGGATGTCTGGTCACCTTATCTTAGCATAATATATTATAATATAAGCATATATGTTATTAGGCTTAGAGATAAAATCATTTCAAAATCCTATTCTCTCAGTTTAAATTTTGTGTAAATTAGGTGAGAACTATTGTGTATAGAAAAGTCATTTTTCGTTTGACTTAAGTTTAACATATTTGCAATAACTTGATAAAAAGAAAAAAAATTCTTCATGGGCTCATTATTTTCCAAAACATTTGGCTCAAAAGTTGACACTTCATATTTATTGTTTTAATATCAGTGAGATATTATGTAGCAATAGCCTAGTTTTTGAAACATTTCAAAAACTAATTATTTTAATAATTTTCTTTTTTCCTTTGATACATATACATGAAAACATTTTTTCTTCTTAATTAGATTCAATTTTCTTTATGAAGCTGTGCATTTTTTTTTTCTTTGGTATGATGAAAATATGTTTTAAAATTTTTGGAAATAATGAAACACAATTTTTAATAAATATAGATTTATTTTGAGCAACATATTGCAATTCATATTGCACAATAAAATTTTTTTTAAATAAATAAGTCTTCCCACTGACGTTTGATGCTTTATGCTCAACAGTTCAACATAGATGTTTTATACTCAGCAGGCACATTAATTACAAAACTAAAACTAGGGTAAACTAAAAATTGTTACTAATCAGTATTATTCACTGGAAGGTATCAGACACACTTGTTTTAGTCACATACTTTGATCATTTGATTATCCCCACACCTTCCAAAGTCCAATAGTAACTGACTGGGGTCAGCAAAGCATTTTTCTAAATGCTTTGCCGAGGATAATATGTACATTAGTCAGCTCTATTGGAATTTTCCCAATTATAAAAAGATCACAAAACAAATCAATGGTCCATTTAACAATAAATAATGTTAAAAAACGTGATTTTAGGGTGATGAAGTATCTTCATGAAAGACAAGGTTGCTATGTTAAAGGCACATCAGGTACATTAGTGACTTAGTATCCAATTTCTTTAGTTTCTATTGGTGCTGATGTTGGTGGCATCAGTAAGGGCTGACTTACAGAACACAATGGCACTTTATGTGATTTTTCACATCTTTTAGATACATTCCAGTACCTGTAGTTTTCTGGGCATTCATACATATAACCTGAAAATGATCCAAGCAATCATAATTAGAGAAAGGAATTATTCGTTCTTAAATCTAATAAATACATGCTACTAATTGATTAACTTATTACCTGCGCAGTTGAGGTAGGCACAAGATAAAAGTATTGTTAAATTAATATAAGTATTTAATTTATTAGTGTAGGGGATAGGATAATTAATTATTTAATCATTAAAATTTTTAAAACTATTTGAATTTTTTTGATCTGTTAAAGTTATATTAAGTTCATGGTTAAGCAAAATATATAAGATAAGATAATATTTTTACAGGGACCAGGTTTTGAAAAATATTATGATAAATAAGAAAAAAAAGAGAAGCTTGGGCTCACCTATGTATGCTTAACTTGTATTTTGTACTTGCTTTCATATTAGCAATAAATTATTTACCTTGCATTCTTCCTCTGTGATCATAAGAACATTTGTAGAACCTTTGACAATCTCCATCATAAGGAAAAGTCCCTACTGATGGACATAGGGATCTTCTTGACCTCACTTGTACCTGTTAATACAATTTTACTTATTTAAATTGTATTTGAAGATAATAATAAATACCATCATTGTAAATAATCTAGGTGTTATCGTTTATAAGAAATTTTTAAACAGCTTATAATTATTTTCACTCCTGGAATATCAGATCTTTCAACCTATTATGGGTTGAGGTCTTTTTTTTGGTCCGTGTCTTCTTAGATTGTTGATCGTCCTTCACTGAAAAGCTACTCCAAATGTTTTTTAATAATACCACCAGATTACCATATTTTTCTTGTATTTGTGTATTTCTTGCTTTGCATCCTACCCTTCTTTCTAGATATCTGTGTAGCATTTTTCCATCCTGTCATTTGTCAATGGTTTTCCATCTATCTTTGAGAAATTATCTTCTTGCTGATCTTATAATCACATTTGTTTTTCTCCTATATTTGTCCAGAATTGCTTGATCAGTTTTGGCTAGGTAGGTGACTTTCATTTTTCTTCTTTCCTCCATTTCCTTTTTTCATACCCCTATGAACTACTTTTCATTTTTCCTAAATCTTTATTACTTTCTCAGTTGTTTCATATAGACTTATTTTTAATCACTTCCATCTATGTTCCCATTGGGTCTTAGGTTTCAAAATTATTCTTCAGTTAAATTTTGAAGTTGGCTTTTAAATATGGACTTTTCAAATTATGGGCTTCATGGACTTATCACCTTTCAGCCGTGAAAGAGTTTGATTTCAATCAGGGTGTGATCTGAATCAGTCTGGCCCCAATAGCTCCTTATATCATGGATGTTTGTATCTACATTAATTGTTAATATTAATAAATTAATACATTTTTTAAATAAATATATTAGTCATTACAAATGTATTAAATATATACATAAATGAAAATTTAAATATATAGTTATTTATATTTTGTCTTTTTACAATAATTAATTGATTTTTTAAATATCTGATTGAAAAGTAATTGTTTGTTTCAAAAGAGACTTGTTTTATAAATAATACAGTCTACTATAATATTATAAGCTTAAAATGTTTTGCTTTTTTCAAGACTGAACCAAGCATTAATTAACACTCATAAGTTGTCCAAATAAAAAAAAGCATAATGTTTTTAACGAACCAGAGGTTGTTAAAAATAGAGGATGATGACTACAGAACATCTTTAAAATACATTTTTTGGTACTCGTGGATCCTAGATCATGTAATTTCAGTGAAAACATCCAAAACTTCAATTAGAATGATTATTCTTTAAATAAGTTTTAAATATTTCATAAATATGTTTTATTAATTTCAATACCTTTATTGTTTTTGTTCCTAGAATAGGTGGGAATTTTTTTATATATAAATTTTTAAACTAATGATTAATTTTTTCTACTCAAAATATGTTATGATGATTGAACTTACAGGAGGAGTCGATCCATCCGCTAACCGCTTATATATTCTTGTCTCTGCCATTTGACCTGTGCATGGTTCAGCTTCACCTAAATCAAACAAATGACTTTAGATTCTTTGAGGTTCTATAAATAGATTACTTTTTTTAGGAAATAAAAATAATAAGAAAATGTCAAAAATTATAAAATTAGTTTTTCATTGATAATACTAACTTGGTGGAAGACACTGCGTTTTTCTTTCATCATAAACTGTTCCATTACTACAAGAAAGGATAAGGACTTTGGCATTATTGTTTGAAGTTGTGCATTGGTAAAATTGGTTACAATTTTTAGGATGCCGCTTAAATCCAGTGGGGCAAATCAGACTGTACTGATTATCCTCTAACTGTTCACACTGAACATTTGTGGGCCTTGAAGGAGACTGAGTTTCCTGACCAGTTGGTTCCATCGGTTGAGTGGTTGCAAGTTCTGTTGAAGTTTCAGTTACAGTCCCTGTGGAAGTAGTTTCAGAACCAGACTGATTTGTTGTACCAGTTTGCATTGATCCAGTTTGGGATGTACCAGATGTTGAACCTGGCTCAGTGGTTTCAGGTTGTGTTGTCTCTGGTTGAGTTGTATCAGTTATAGTTGTGCCAGATGTTCCAGTCTGAGTTGATCCTGGTTGAGTTGTACCTGGCTGTGTTGACCCAGGCTCAGTGGACCCAGGGAGTGTTGTACCTGGTGGTGTAGATCCTGGTTGTGTAGTGCCTGGTGGTGTTGATGCAGGTTGTGTTGTTTCAGTTGGAGTACTTCCTGTCTGTGTTGTTTGAGGAGGAGTGCTTCCTGTCTGTGTTGTTTGAGGAGGAGTGCTTCCTGTCTGTGTTGTTTGAGGAGGAGTGCTTCCTGTCTGTGTTGTTTGAGGAGGAGTGCTTCCTGTCGGTGTTGTTCCAGGTTGAGTAGTATCTGGCTGGGTCATTCCTGGTTCAGTGGAACCAGGGAGTGTTGTGCCAGGTTGTGTACTTCCTGGTGGTGTTGATGCAGGTTGTGTAGTTCCTGGTGGTGTTGACACAGGTTGTGTTGTTTCTGACTGAGTAGTTGCAGGTGGTGTGGTTCCTGTTTGTGTTGATCCAGGTTGAGTTGTTTCTGACTGAGTAGTTGCAGGTGGTGTGGTTCCTGTTTGTGTTGACCCAGGTTGAGTTGTTCCTGTCTGTGTAGTTCCAGGTTCAGTAGACCCAGGGGGTGTTGATCCAGGCTGTGTTGTTTCAGATTCAGTAGACCCTGGTAGTGTGCTAGGTTGTGTTGTTCCTGGCTGAGTGGTTCCAGAAGGTGTAGTTCCTGTTTGTATTGATCCGGGCTGAGTCGTACCTGGCTGAGTAGATCCTGGTTGGGTAGTGCCTGGCTGAGTTGATCCAGTTTCACTAGTGCTAGGGGGTGTTGTTTCAGTCTGTGTAGTTCCTGGTTGTGTTGTTCCTGAAGGTGTAGTTCCAGTCTGTGTTGTTCCAGTTTGAGTAGAACCAGGTGTGGTGCCTGGCTGAGTTGTTCCGGGCACAGTAGACTCAGGTGACGTAGTGCCTGGCTGAGTCGTTCCAGGCTGAGTAGACCCAGGTAATGTAGTGCCTGGCTGAGTTGTTCCAGGCTCAGTTGATCCTGGTGATGTATTGCCTTGCTGAGTTGTTCCGGTCTCAGTTGATCCTGGCGATGTAGTGCCTGGCTGAGTAGATCCTGAGGAAGAGGACCCTGGTGGAGGATATGGTGTTGTTGATGGTTGTATAGGTTGAGTACTGGAACCAGCTCCACCACCACTAGTTGAACTACCTTGAGAAGTATCACAGCTACAATCTCTTGGGGGTTGGACACTTTCAGGGTAATTACAGGTGTTTAATGATGGATCCCAAATAGTACCTTCACCACAGTCAAAGGTATACAAAGAAAATCTTTGACCATTTGATCCATCCCAGTCTACACATCGATAAAATTTTTTGCAGTTTCCAGGGTAAGAAAAGAAACCAGCTTGGGTGCACACTATAGGCTGTTGGGCCTGGTTGCATTTTCCACTTTGGTCTGAAGGATTTGTAGCACATGGAGGTTGAGATTGCGAAGGGGCTGTTGGCCGTTCTGGTTGGGAAGATGGAGGTGTTTGCGTTGTCTGTGTTGGCTGCTGAGGTTGTGATGATGTCTGCCCTGATTGTGTAGGTTGTTGAGGTTGTGTGGGCTGCTGTGGCTGGGTTGGCTGCTGAGATTGTGAAGGAGATGTTGTCTGTGAAGGCTGAACGGGTTTTTGGGATTGTGTGGGTTGCTGAGATTGTGAAGGTTGAGTGGGTTTCTGAGTCTGTGAAGGTTGGGTGGGTTGCTGTGTCTGTGAAGAAGATGGTGTTTGTGCAGGCTGGGTGGGCTGCGGAGGCTGTGTTGGTTGCTGTGGCTGAGTTGGTTGTGAAGGAGCAGGTGTCTGTTCTGGCTGAGTAGGTTGCTGAGGTGGAGTAGGTTGTTGGGACTGAGGGGGTTGGGACTGACCTCCACAACCAGGAACAGCCCAAGGATGGTTACAAACAGTATTGACTGGATCCCATACTGTGCCAGGTCCACAATTGAATTCATACTTTGTAAAACCAGAACCGCTCTGGACACATCTTATAAATTTAGTACAATCACCTTGAACTGGGAAAAATCCTTCACTTTTACATTGATCTCCTGGAGCTAAACCTTGGCTTGGTGAATTGGGTGTGGGAGTGGTCTGTTGGATAGGAGAAGTTGTTTGTACAGTAGAGGGTGTTGTAGATTGCATTGGCTGGGTAGTTTGTGGTACAGAGGTTGTTGACTGTTGACCAGATATTGTAGTCTGTTGACCAGAAGAAGTAGACTGTTGACCAGATGTATTCTGTTGTCCAGATGTTGTGGTTTGCTGGCCAGATGTACTTGTTTGCTGACCAGAAGTTGCACTTTGCTGACCAGACGTGGTGGTTTGTTGTCCAGATGATGTAGTTTGTTGACCAGTTGAAGTTGTTTGTTGGCCTGAAGTTGTACTTTGTTGACCAGATGTGGTGGTCTGCTGTCCAGATGGTGTAGTTTGTTGACCAGATGAAGTTGTAGTTTGTTGGCCTGATGAACTGGTTTGTTGGCCAGAGGTTGTGGTGGTTTGCTGTCCAGATGATGTAGTTTGCTGACCAGTTGAACTGGTTTGTTGGCCAGAAGTTGTTTGCATGGTAGAAGGTGTTGTAGATTCCATTGGCAGACTTGTTTGTTGTCCGGACGGCGTTGTCTGTTGCACAGATGTTGTACTCTGTTGGCCGGACGAACTGGTTTGCTGCCCAGTTGTAGTCTGTTGTCCAGATGTTGTGGTTTGCTGGCCAGAAGTTGTACTTTGTTGACCTGTTGTGGTGGTCTGTTGTCCAGATGATGTAGTTTGTTGACCAGTTGAAGTTGTTTGTTGGCCTGAAGTTGTACTTTGTTGACCAGATGTTGTAATCTGTTGTCCAGATGACGTAGTTTGTTGACCAGTTGAAGTTGTTTGTTGGCCAGAAGTTGTACTTTGTTCTCCAGAGGTGGTGGTCTGCTGGCCAGTTGAACTGGTTTGTTGGCCAGAAGATGTACTCTGCTGTCCAGATGTACTGGTCTGCTGTCCAGATGTTGTAGTTTGTTGACCAGATGATGTTTGTTGGCCAGAAGTTGTTTGAACAGTAGATGGTGTAGTTGATTGCATTGGCTGTGTAGTTATTTGTCCAGAGGGTGTTGTTTGTTGTACAGGCGTTGTAGTAGTTTGTTGACCAAAAGAAGTAGACTCTTGGCTAGTTGAACTAGTTTGCTGTCCAGATGTTGTCTGTTGTCCAGATGATGTAGTTTGTTGACCAGTTGAAGTACTTTGTTGGCCAGAAGTTGTTCCTTGTTGACCAGATGTGGTGGTCTGCTGTCCAGATGATGTAGTTTGTTGACCAGATGAAGTTGTCGTTTGTTGTCCTGATGAACTAGTTTGCTGCTCAGATATTGTACTTTGCTGACCAGATGTGGTACTTTGCTGTCCAGATGATGTAGTTTGTTGTCCATTTGAACTTGTTTGCTGGCCTGAAGTTGTACTTTGTTGACCAGATGTGGTGGTCTGCTGTCCAGATGATGTAGTTTGTTGTCCAGTTGAACTTGTTTGCTGGCCAGTTGTTGCACTTTGTTGACCAGATGATGTAGTTTGTTGACCAGAAGAAGCTGTCGTTTGTTGGCCTGATGAACTTGTTTGCTGGCCAGATGTTGTACTTTGTTGACCAGATGACGTAGTTTGTTGACCAGATGAAGTTGTCGTTTGTTGTCCTGATGAACTAGTTTGCTGCTCAGATGTTGTACTTTGCTGGCCAGATGTGGTAGTTTGCTGTCCAGATGAACTTGTTTGCTGGCCAGATGTGGTGGTTTGTTGTCCAGATGATGTAGTTTGTTGTCCAGTTGAACTTGTTTGCTGGCCAGAAGTTGTACTTTGTTGGCCAGATGATGTTGTTTGTTGACCAGATGAACTGGTTTGCTGGCCAGAAGTTGTACTTTGCTGACCAGATGAAGTTGTCTGCTGTCCAGAAGATGTATTTTGGAATCCTGATGGTGTTGTCTGAGTACCTCCTGCGGAAGACGATTGCTGTTCACTAGAAGCGGAGCTGCTTTGCTGGCTTCCACCTGCAGCAGTTGTTGTTTGACCCTGTGTTACGGTTGTCATCCAAGAATTTGATGAATTAGAGCTCTGGCTTGATGAGCTACTAGTACTATTTGACCAAGTAGTCGTTACACTACTGCCTCCTGTTGGTATTGTTGAGTCAGATTGTATAATGCTTGACGGTGTTGTAGTCATCCCACAGTCCTCTCGGTGAACTAAGTAATCGTGATTACAAGTTTCAAGATCAGAATCCCAGGCAGTGCCTTCACCACACTTGAATTCAAACTTTGTAAATGTTCCATCGCCTTTGCTGACACATCTCAAAAATTTCTTACAATTTCCGGGTACTGGGTGGAAGCCTTCTGATTTACAATCAGTGTTACTTTCAGATGCATTTTCAGAGTTTGGAGATTCGTTTTCCTCACGATCACCGATTTCGTTTTCATTGGGAAGTGTTTCTGTTTGAAGATGAGGAGGTTTTTCTGTAGGGGGATATGCCACAGGTGTTACCGTTGAGACTGGAGAATTTTGATTTTGTGGCTGACTTCCAGAATCTTGAGGATATTGCGGAGCTGGAGATTGGGGATAATTGGTTTGAGGAGTCTGTGGTTGCTGGGAAACAGTACTAGGTGTCTGAGTAGTTTGTGAATAGTCTGGTTTGTTTTGTTCTATGGATGATGATGACTGTTCACTACTTCTACAGTCACTTCGAGCCACGGCCCAAGGATGATTGCAGGCCTCATTTATTTCATCCCACACTGTACCTGATGCGCATTGAAATTCATATTTCGTATACCCTCCTAAACCATTATTTACACATCTATAAAAAGCTCGACAATCTCCTCTCACACCATAAAATCCATCATTTGGGCATTCACCAGAGAGTACTTTGTTTTCAGACGAAGAATTTTGTCCATCTTCGGGCAACTCAAACTGGCTAGAAGTATTTTGTTGAGGTTGGGTTGATGTTTGGGAAACTGAAGTTCCCTCGGATGTCTGAGAAATGGATTGTTGAGTTTCTTGAGTTGGAGGAATTCCTGGAGGTCCTGCTGGTTGATGACCAGACTGTTCCTGCTCTGGTTGCTGAGACTGTGGGTATTGAGGTGAGGGACTAAGTTCCAAAGGAGTCTGCGCTGCTCCGGTACTTGGAGGTTGTGGGGATGATATAGGTTCTTGGGGGTAATGTGTTTCTGGAGGCTGTTGAGGCTGAGGATATACAGGAGGTGAGCCCGGTTGTAAATGAGAAGGCGTTGTTTCGGTACTTGAAGGTTGTGGCCGTGATATAGGTTCTTGGGGGTATTGTGTTTCTGGAGGTTGTTGAGGCTGAGGGTATACAGGAGGTGAACCTGGTTGTAAATGGGCAGGCGGTGCTTCGGTACTTGAAGGTTGTGGCGGTGATATAGGTTCTTGGGGGTATTGTGTTTCTGGAGGTTGTTGAGGCTGAGGGTATACAGGAGATGAACCTGGTTGTAAATGGGTAGGCGGTGCTTCGGTACTTGAAAATTGAGGCGGTGATATAGGTTCTTGGGGGTATTGTGTTTCTGGAGGCTGTTGAAATTCTTCTTGTGGTATTTGTTCTTCTGGTTTAAGATCATTACAGTCATTTCTTGACACAGCCCAGGCATGATTACAAGCTTCGTTTACTTCGTCCCACACAGTCCCGGATGCACACTGAAAGTCGTATTTTGTAAAACTTCCTTGACCGTTGTTCACACATCTATAAAATGACCTACAGTTCCCTTTTATTCCAAAGAATCCATCACTGCTACATTCGCCTGATTTTAACCTGTCCTGGTTCTGATGAGAAGGACCCGGGTTTAATAGAGAATCTTGAGGGCTTTGCGGCTCAGGTCCTAGAGGTGTTGGCTTTTGAGTAGAAAATGACTGCTCAGGATATTGTGGGTTTTGTGGTACCTGGGGTTCTACTGGATACTGGGGTTGTTCCGGATATTCAGAAGAAGATTCTGGTATGACAGGATATTGTGGCGGAGGCTGAGGATATTGAGAACCTTCAGGATATTCTGGGCTTTGAGGATATACTGGATATTGAATACCATCAGGATTTTGATCTACTGGTGGATATTGTGGTCTTAGTGGAGGCTGGGGATTTTCTTGAAACTGAGAGTTTGAAGGAAACTCAGGATTTTCAGGTTGTTGAATTTCTGGAGGACCATCAGTGGCTGGATATGTCTGTTCATCCTTTATACCTGAAACGTATAATATAAGAATAAATACAAAATTTTGAGAGAGGGTTAAGTTTTTGAATTCTTAGTTCGATTACAATAGTGTGGTACTGTGATTATATTATTGAAAAATATAAACCAAAAATAAATATGTGTTGAGTTCTTTGGTGGGGAATCATGGGCCATCGACCCTAAAGGAGAGATGGACACCCCTAAATTACTGAAAAACGTTAATATAATGTTTTATGTCAGGTAGGAATTAATTTTCTTCTTCCTGATTGATTTAAAAATAATAAAGTTCAATTCAAAATAAAACGTGTACAAATTATAATTGGCTATGTCTCGGCTAAAAATGGGCCGATAATTTCGACCATTTTCAGCTATCGACCATTATGTTTGATTTGAAGAGAATTCAGAAAACTTTCAGATCATCAAAATAAATTGTTTACTTTGTTTGTTTCCTGTTCTTTACAACTTTTTTTCATGACTTTTCTTAAAATGTAATTATTTAGAATTCTGAAGAACATAATCTTCAAAATGATGGTTCATTCATTAAATATGATAAACAATTAACGAAGATAAGGGTTACCGACAAAAATACCTTCTAGAATATATATTAAAATATTATATATAAAATAAAACCTGTACCAATACAACTCATGAAGGGTCTTGGGTTCAGAAATATTTAGGGAAAGCACTGTTTCATGGTCTACGGTTGTACAAGGAGGTGATTTGAACGAGATCACGCTCAACCGCCAGGTTTTATCCCTTAATCAATTATTTTAATTAAGGGTTCTCATTTTATAGAGGCTGGGTGTGCCCCAGGAGGGTCTACCTACCCAGGGTCGTCCCACGACCAATGAAACAGAATAAATATTTTTTCTGCCACGAGCCAGGATTCGAACCTGGAATCTTTAGCATTGGAAGCTCAGTACCCTACCACTGACCTACCCCACTCCATAATACCATATATATATATATATATACATTTTTTTTTCGGTTGTCGCTACGGACCTTGTAGATCTTTGACCGCGAGATGTGGTCTTTTAGCCCACACCCCGATTCCTGGTTTAAGTACACGGAGGTAGGGTCATCAGTCCTCCAGTAGTCTGACGAGCCTCACAAACCCGGGGGTGGGGTCTCGGGCAGCGTGGCTTTCCCTGGTGGACGGTCACCCAAATCGGGCGGTCACCCATCCAACTTGATTACCTTGATTCGTTACCTTGATTAACTTGATTACTTACTGCAACAGTACCGCCACAAGGAAATCAAGCTACTCTTATCAACAGGGTATGTCAGCTTGCTGCCAGACTTGGAGTATCGATGCTCAATTAAAAAACTGTAGAGGATCCCATTATTTATGTTAAAAAAACAGGGATCGAACCATTTTTTAATAAATGGAATAAACAGAAGCTGTTTTAAGTCGTTTAAGGGTATTTCGTGACCTATTATTCTACTATAATTCATGTCTTAAGTTATAATATAGAAAGGTCGAATTCTAAAAAAAAAAACAAAAAAACACTGCGCCACTTGACACCACCTATAAATATCCTCCAAGGTAGAAAAAATTAGGGATCCCTATTGTAGATTAAAATAAATAGGAATATCTTACATTTTTTTTTTTTCTTATGCCAGTCGTTGGTCATTTGGCCATCCGACATCTTGCTGCCCAGTATAATTTAGATTTTCTGATATGTATATTTGAAAATATTTTGTCTCTTATGTCCCTCAAGGCAGGACATGCGTCTAGGTGGTCTGCATCCATTGTTCCTAGATGACACAATTTACAGGTAGGATCCTCAGCGACGCCTATCTTGTAGAGATGACTCTGCAGATAGTCGTGACCAGCAGCCAGGCGGAAGCAGGCAACTGCATCTCTTCTCGGTAGCTCAGCTGGAATCGGATTATCTTTCAACCACTCGTAACGCTTTCCTTCCACTTTGCCGAAATGTACTTTTCTTATTTCTTCCTTCACTATCATCTTCACCATTCGCCGTATTGAGTCGTAAGGTTTTGGATGTATCGGCTGAGGCAAATCTGTTCCTCGCTTGGCAAGTATATCAGCCTCAACGTTACTTACATTTAATCTTACATTTTAAAAACCCGTGATAAGTATCTCGTGACATCTTAAAGGCTCTCAGCAATAATTACGATTTATGTCGAAAATGGTACGTTTAAGGGCCTTGAAACACAGGAGCCTAACTGGATTTCTGTGTTCGTATCCAATCCCGATCTTAGAGTCCGACAACCCAGGAACATAAGAGGGCGCCGATCATGGCTAGCGCCCACCACTTGTTAGGAATTAAACAAAATTTACAAAACTTATGTTTGAGAATAACTAACTTTAAGCTCTGGATAATGCAACTGAATTAAAGATACATCGAATAAATTAAAATTCAAATATTACTCAATTTAAAACAGCTTAAGAAATACATTTTATTTTTTGGGGATGCCTTTATTAATAGTCATATAAAAAGCTGCAGTAAGAATTTTATATTTTTTTCAAATGAGAATTTAAGGATCGAAAATGGAATTCGGCACTTATTATTTCTATTAAATATTTTGTATATAGATTTTTTTTCCGATTATTTATAGCCCGTGGTACAAACCCGTGAAACTTCGTAAATAGTTTCATCTCATCGTAACCTACAACTATTTTATTTACAATAACTCTTGGAATCGGGGCGTTATCAACCTGGATGGGAGCAAACTTTGTCTATTTAATTACGTACTAAAATCCCATCCAAGTACTATCCACGCTCGACGTTGCTTAACTTTGATTACCTATTGCAAGCGCCTAAGCCCGTACGGTTACCCCAGCCCCTTTATATATATATAAATATATATATATATAAATATATATATATATATATATATATATATATATATCCTTCCTCATTATACTACTAGTCTTATAAAATATAAACTAATAACTATACCAAGCCTAATAAACCACATAATAAATTTAATTTTTAAAATTATATTTCTATTTTATAATAATAATTTTTTTTTTGCTTACCTATTTGAGAATTTTTTCGTTTCTGTTTTTTTTTTTTTTAGGAATGAATATTTATTTTTTACCGTTCTCCATTAATTGTATATCGTCGGTTTATTGCAAAAACTCTAATGTTTTGAATGTCGACATTGTTTATTGATAAAAAAAATATATATATTAATAACATAATTACAATGATCTGATGGTAAATTCATCAAAACTGTTTGTTTTGAAGATTATGAAATAGGGTAAGCTCACCAGTGACAAACATATCTAAAGGAAAGGTTTGTCTTTTTTGACTTATGGCTCCGTAATTATAGTTATAAACTTCTCCGTTGGACATTTAGAATTTCTAGGGTCTTATTTTTCTATTTAACACTTTGAAATTGAATAAAAAAAGTATTCATTTATGCAGGTATAATCTGCATTAAAAAAAAAACATCTTTTTGCACTAGTGATGGACACCCCGAAATTTAATTGTTCTTGTAACGGACAGAGGGTCGGTACCAGTTATAGACCTCAGAAAAAATGTAAAATCTTTGTTCAACTACAAAGATAAGATAACATAAATTATCAACTTAATCTTAGCAAAGCTGTTAGTAGAGCACTACAGAAACAACAATGATGGGTATTTTAAAATTTTCTTTTGGAAACATTGTTCATACAGTTGTCAATAGAGGCCATTAGTCGTCAATATAGAAAAAAAACTGGACCTTTAAATCAACAAAGAAGCTTATTATTTACATTCAAAGTCCAACGTGTCCACCACTGGGCCTCCCCTGTCCATTACTGGTGCGTTCATCCTACCACTTAAAGGAGTTATTGTAATAAACTGCTAATATATTTTTAGTAATATAATGTTTAGTTTTATCTATATATAGTACTACGTCTCAGTTTAGGCATAGTTGGAGATTCAGGATAAGAAGTACAAGAATGTTTTTATTCATACCTTGCCGGCATTCGGCTCTGGTTGCTGCTGATGGATGTACACACGTTGTAGCCGCTGGGTCGTAAACTGTTCCTGGACCACATTGGAACTGGAAAGGAGTCAGAGATCCGAAGTCGACGCAGCGGTAAAATGACGTACAACTGGATGGGTCAGGATGGAATCCCGGCCCGGGGCATTGGAACTTGCTGCCGCCGCCTTCCTTCCCTCCTACTTCTTCTCCAGTTGTCAATCGCCTCCCTAAATCGTTTGTTATTAGTCCTTTGAAATTTATCTCATACATATTGGTAATAAATAATTTTAATTGTACTCCATACTCTACTTCCTGATAGGGTGGAAATTCCCTGTAATCACTTAAGACGGACACTGCTTTAGGCCGACCGGCCATCGAAAGCGCAGCGGAGCTGAACTGAGTTGAGCGTAGCTGACTCAGCTTCCAAAACCAAACCAAAGGTTCAATGAGAGGCCGACCAGCAGAAGCTGAGCAAGGGTCAGCTCAGGTGAGCTTTGGCTCGACCGGGATTCGGTGTTGGAAGCTGACTCCGCTAGACCCAGAATCACCCACCACCTACTCACCTACTAACCACTGCCACCCAACCGTGGGGCTTTGTTCCTCAGTTTAATCCTTTTTTCCCGCTCGTTTTCACTGCATAACCACTCAAATCATTTTATTTTGGTTCAGTGTAAAATATGCAATGGATGTAGAAGAATTCTTAATCGAATGTGGAAAGACAAATATTCAATTTTTCTTTTCAACTCCGACATGAGCAACTTTGCTATTTTTTAAAAATGTTATATATGATATACTTTTTAAAAACGTTATACGGAATATGAGAAAGGTACCGATGCAAGGCAAGTTGCTGACTGAGCTGAGCTCCGCTACGCTATTGGTTGCTGCCGACTCCCTCTTGCAACGTTTTGCAATACGATTGATCATATACCTTTTTTCGCTATCTTGCTTAGTTTCCGAGATATCCGTCGTCACTTATTTGAAACAAAAAGTTTTGCCTCGTGTTTATTGATGTTTTTCGAGTTTTCGCTTATTACACGGTGGGCCAAACCCCCTCTACCGTACACCCCCTATAAATTTCATATCGTTGTGTTCCTTGTAACTATTTATTAGAAAATAGCCAATGTTCACACAAAAAAAGTGAACGCACCACTCCAAAATGGTGTCCAAACATGGCGGACTGATGACTTTGACTTTAGTTAGTTATTTGGTCACTGAGAATCAGCATTTGGCTTAATTTCGTCATAATTGGTCTTTTATTAAAGCTGGATAGTCAGAGAATAATGAAACATGAAAAAATATTAAAAAATAAATGGCTTAGGCAATAAAAAACACACCAATAAAGTCAATTTTTTAAAAAAAATTTGGGAAGTTTAAAAAAGTTCAGTTTGGGAAGTTTATGTTTATTTACTTCTTAGAAAAGCGCGAAATATCAAAGCTGTGGATATAGTTTTGAAGAGCAGTAATTTGGCTTTCCAATGGCTGTACTAACGTCGACTTAGGAGACAAACCTGAGGAGTTATGAATATTAAGTAAAGGACATGAAAAAAAAAATCTTCCCGTATAATGACGTCCAAAAATATATGTTTTTTTGAATTCAAAACAAACTTGTATTTAAGAGTTTTAGTTAACCCTTAAAACTAATCTGATTAGGTTTTTCATGACAAAAGTTTACTTGGCCTACTAGAAGTGTGTATGGGTTTTTGTAATTTATTATATATAAGAATTCGTTCAATACTGTAAGCAATATGTTTTCCTTATTTTACAAAAAAAAAAAAAAAAAAAATAATCATTGAGAGTAATTTCAGAAAACGGTAACTTAAAAAATAATAAACTTTTTATTATTTTTAACCACGTCCGTAACTTCCTCTTCTAAGCACAAATACAGCCGAGGCGATTCTTAATATTTATATAGAGGTATTAATTATAAGTCAGATTGAAACCCAAAATGATCAATGAAAAGTGGATGCTTATCTTTTTTCTTTGAGTTAAATTATATGTGTAGTACCGTTAACAAATCATTTACCACTAAATTAGAAGACTGACTTATGTTAGTCTGAACTTGTATAGAATTATTATCTCCAACAAGGAGCGGTTGAGACCTCAGAGTCTATTGTCGTGGCCGGAAGACCGGCTGAGGATAATTCTGGAGCGACAGGTCTCTAGGTACATCGTCACCCGACCCAGCTCCCAGGAATTTGCGACAGCCGGGAACTATCTATCCCGAAACGGGACGCTGCCGAACCGGTCTGGGTCCATTTAATTTATTGGCTAACTGTATTCGGCTGCTGCAGCTCTTCTGACCTTACGGGATAGGTTTGCTGTGGATAGGGAAATTATCCTTGTTTTTATCCTATTCAGTATTTCGAGCTTTCTTATCGGGCAAGAGAATCTGGGTTTGAATTTTCACATCACCATTTACCATTCAGTAAACAAAGATGAAAACTAGAAATTAGAGTGAAGTTAACACTCAGAAAGCTAGCATAAAATTAACGATAGTATTCACAGTTTTAAACATTAAATATGAGAGCCCTAGTTAGTGGCGCGCATAATGTATCTATCGCAATAAAAAAAAGTCTAATCTTAACTTTTTTTTTTATTACCCCCTACCTCTCCATTGCTGTAATATGGAAGGAGGATCGTTCTAGAGTTGGTTGTAGATCTATTTTAACTAGGGTGAGAAGGTCGAGATTCGTTCCGTGGGTCTTCAACGTAATTCCAATCCACCCAGGCCGGATTCGAACCGGCACACACTGGGATGAGCTAACGGTTGGACATTGGGTTTTGGAGAAAAAAAAAAAAGTTACAATTTTGAAGTTTAGCTGCATCAGTGACAAACTAATATCCCTTCGTGTCCAGTAATTTTTAACTTAAAAGTTGCATTAATAATGCTCTGATGTGACATACTAGGAGAATAAATGAGAACTATCTTTTTTATTTTTAGAGCTGGTTTGCCGGAATTTTTTGTTCAAACCTAACGGTTTGTGCTGGGATAAATAAGATACTCCTAGTGAATCCTAAGACAGATAAAATATCTGTTTTTAAATATATGCTTAGTTGTTACAACGTTTCAAGCAAATGCAAGCAATTTGGCCCATTTCACAAATCGCCCAGGTAGATCCGATTATTAACAAAGGTTTGAACTTCTAAAAACATTTTTCAGACCTTGCTCCAACCTATCATCCGGAAGTTATTTAGGATTTAACACGCGGAAACGTTGTTTTTAGAGTGACTCCATTACTTTTTATTTATTTAATATTTTTTACTAGCGTATTCGAGTTACTATCAACCCAGGTTATTAATGTTAAAAAATATTTTGTTTCAAGAATATTTGATTTAAATAAACCAAATAGGTTTATGTTTAATAATAAGTGTCTCGTGCAACATAATTATTTCAAGTAAAATAAATATTGTAAAATATTCGTGGTAGATACCAATATAATGTTTAAAATCCACGTCTTATGGTTTGTATCGTTTTGATATTGTATAATTTATCACCTAACTCATAACAACCTTAAATAACAAATGTTAATATATAAAGTTACATGTATGTAATAATAAAAATAAATATATATTTTTTAATTAACAATTAAGTTCGTTATATGTATGTAATTTGGTCAGTATAGACAATCAGATATTATTTAGTCAAGACCTGGGTTGATAGTAACTCGAATACTCTAGTAAAAAATAATTCAAAAGCAATAGTAGTCGCTCTAAATTCAACGCTTCTGCGTGTTAAATCCTCAACAACTTCCGGGGTGATAGGTTGGGGCAGGGTCTGAAAACTGTTTTTAGAAGTTCAAACCTTTTTTAACAATGGGGTACATCTGGTTTTTGGACGTTTTCGGGCGATTTGCGAAATGGACCGGTATGGATTCTGATCCGGTAACAACACTCCATTCCTCATGTGGGAGTCCTGCATAGCTAATATATATATATATGTATATATATATATATATATATATATATATATATATATATATATATATATATATATATATAAATTAATATCTAAATCCAAGAAACATTTGGATGGAGTTATAAATTAATAAACATTAAAATAATAATAAAACATTATTCACCATAAATGAACCTTAAAATGTCAGTCTTAATTGATTTTTTATTAAAGAAAAGGTGCTCAACCTAAAAAATGAAGACAACATGAAGAATATACATTAAAATCATAAATTTAAACCTTCAATAAAAACCCTTCACAACATGAACTTACACCTTTCAATAGACATTCCTCAGCGATATCTGCTTATGCCAATTTAGCTAATTGGATTAAGTTAATTTCATTTTGTTACAAGATCGGGCCTGCTTTAGCCAAAAATGGCTACCAGTCTTGCTGAAGATTTTGATTCTTGGTTGTCTACTAACCTGAAATCTTTGAATACTGATGAAGGTGTTTTTGGAAACTATATTACTAGGATTTTAACCTCGACAGAGACGGCAAAAACTTCAGAATGACAATAAACTACTCAAGAACTTCTTGGGAAGTTTAAGTGCTTAAATATAGTTGGTTTTAACAGTGGCAATTATTATAATTTTATATATATTTTTAAACTGCCTGGTATTTAATGGGGATTTTACAAAATAATATTCTTATATTACATAAACATCAATGAGTGTATTCTGATATTCATTTATACTTACCGAATTCATTCACTTCTCGATATGTCTGGGCAAATATGCTCGGTGAAAACAATAAGACGGTGAAGATCGGCCCTGGACCCATATTCTCATCCACGGCCCCTGAAAAATTATTAAATTATATTAAATAATTTCAAGAAAAGTAAAAAAATTAAATATAATAATAATACAATAGTTCTCAATGATAATAGTTGCGAATATACATGCTACTTCTTGAATGCAAAACTTGTATAGTTGTATTGTTAGCATTATTTACAGTCTAGTATGTGGGTTCCACGTTAGTCTTCGGTCTAAATGAAAGCCAAGATACCGGACTGTGTCTGAGTAAGGAAGCTGGATGGAATTAAAGTGTACTGGTGGACAGGAATTGCGTCGGAGTGTAAAGGTAATATGGTGGCATTTAGATTCATTAATTTTAATGCACCAGTTATTACACCAGTGCTCAATCAAGGTGAGGTGGCTTTGGAGATTTAAGGATGCTATTTCGGGATCAGAGTTGGATGATAAGATTGCGGTGTTGTCAGTGAATGTTGCAAGGAAAGTATCGGGATGAACAGGGATGTCAGCAGTAAAGAGGATGTAAAGCGCGGGACCCAAGACGCTGTCTTGGGGAATACCGG